GCCCGTTACGGTAGGTAAATTCTCACCGGCGAACAAGGCGACTTTGATCGGATCGGAGCTCTACAATAGCTAGGGACAAACTAGTTTATCATCAAGAGGTTGCGTTTCGTTGGCTACTGCTGCCGACTGTCTGCGCTGTAATGTATGTACCGTACAGTACAGTACATGAGTAGAGAGAAAGATAAAAGGTTTCCATGAAATGGCAGTATGTAAGCAAAGGTATCAAGAAATCCCAAATATTTCAAAAAGGGCTGAAGATAACAAATGGTTGGTTGAAAGAAGCAAGTACAGGCTCGTACGGGTGTGAGAGTGGAACGGAGGTGGAAATAATAGGTGGGGCATGAGCATTTGTGGCGAGTATAAAATAGATAGCTACTTCCTCACTACCTGTAAATTCTGCAAGTACTTGTAGTAGAGTTTTAAATTCTACTACTATTTTCACAAAACAGGAAAAACTAACTATATGTAAGGCCAGAAACACCTTTTAAAAAGCCGGTAGAAACGTGGGGTCGTGGGAAAAGAAAAAGAGTGCTGTACCGGCATGTATGTTCCTACATACAGGAGGTAGAGTAGCGAGCTGACTGGGGTTCGCCATTGGAACGACGACAACTCTGCTCTCTCCGCGGCTACGGCATCCTTTGTTTTGGCTGCATATCATGAGGCGACAGACAGCAGCTCCATGGCGGCATCAAAGCAGAAACTCTGTTCGTGGTAGCTAGCTACATATCAGAGACAGCTCAGGGAGCTCCTACCTACATAGCAGCAGCACAGCTAAGGTCCAATGCAGACCGCACCGCCTTGCACAGTTGCTACCTACTGTCTGTGCTTTTTTTTGTTCTATCTCTGGCTCTGCTGCTTTTCTGAGCTCTGACAGGTCTAATTTAGAAAAAAGTCACACATTTCACACTGCTGAGCAAGCTGCGAGTGTGCTCTGCATAAGGCGCACGTTAGTTATGTCTCGAGCTGCTGTCTGTCTGGCCTATCTTCTCAAGCTCGTGTATCTATCTCTTGGCCCCACCCCCGGAGAACCAGAACCACTCGTTTACAAAACCTAATCCTCACGGGATAACCGAGAGTGCAATTAATTCCACAATGCCAGGGGGTTGATGGTACAATTGAAAGCCAAAAGCAGCGAATGGAAGACCTTCAACTGATGTCCTGACACATCCCACCACACCCATATCCAGAGTATTCTCGGTACACTTTGTCGAGTATCAAACTTGCCCTTTCCCGGGCTCTACCTAGATCTGTCCGATTCGAAGCAGACAGTCAACTAACACCCCCCTTCGATCGGTGGCCCACAAGGTGCCGGCACCAAATGAGCTTGGATACGTAAAAGGGTTTAACTTTAGTACCGGCAGCACAGCACGAATCATGGATCTGGGATGAGCGTCAATATGTTGATTTATTAGGAAACCCTCTCGGTTTTTCTTTTTGTTCGAGAAGTAATCATTTAAGGCCTAAGGGGTAAGAATGTTTAGAGTAGGGAAACGACAAAAAAGCAAGCAAAGAGATTAGGCAGCCTCTCCCGGTAATAATTGATCAAAGAACCAGATATGGCCAATTCCTTCGATGTCTACAAGCTTCATAGGTACGGGAGTCTCATTATAAGGTCTCAAAAGGTGCGGCTTTGGATCCCGGTAACAGCTTAGCTACCTCAATTGAGATAAGAGATCTACCTTCCACTTGACACGCACCGGGAGTCGCCTTTCAGTTGTTAGATTGTTTACCGGTAACTAAACAACCTTTTTTTTTTTTTTAACTCTTCCCTACTAATTCTGGTTTGGGATGGGAACGCGCCGCTGTGCAGCGGAACGGAAAGGCCATGTTTAAGAAAAGAAAGGGCCCTGATTTTTCCGGTGGCTTGGTTCGGAGCCCTGCCTTATCGTTGATGTTTTGTTACTTTGGCATATGCCCGAGAAGGTACATACGGGTTAGTGTATGAAAGGATAGCCTTGTTAGTCGTATCGTATTCCGCTTTTGGGGCGGATGCGGTGCGCGTTTCGACCTCCCACGCTGTCAATTAATTACTTTTGACAATTTCTTTTCCTTTGGTGTTTTGTTTGATGCAGGAGACACAACATGTCACGGAAGGTAAAGCTGAGTACCGAAGAGGTGTACAGCTAACTAGGAGGCCCATGATAGGTTTTTTGCTCCAATTACTTTTATACAATTTGTTGGAGAGTAATAAGTGCATTGGATACATGTTCCGCGCAAACTTTTTTCCCAACTGCATAAACAATATGTTGATAGCGTCTTCACGTTTGAGGATAGCGGCAGGAGATCCGTTTGCATGTGTTGTGCGTGAATATTTGTTCGTGATCGTCGTCGTGGGCAGCAGCTCACTTCTTGCTCCCCTCGAAGGACCGGTCCGGACAACTGTGTCAAAGGGTTTCGTTGGGCGGAAGCAGCAACACTCACTATCAATCAGTAGTACTCAAGAAGGGTTTGGGACCGGCTGATAACAAAGCAAGAAGGAAAGATTTTCGGCCAAAAAAGATTGTAGTTTCCGCTGCTCCGTGCAGCAGCAGCAGTGAGAGATGCTGCTGTCGCTGCTACAATTGTCAGTCCGTTCCAGCTCCTTGGACACGAGCGGGGGAGGTCAACAGGATTCTTTAAATCGGAGAATTCAGTCGGAATCGAAGGCTGCAGGCCAGAGGTGCACGAAACTGGGTGGCGGGTAATCTGCATCGAATTGGGCAGGCAGGCAATGCAAGAGAATGCAGTCTTTTGTTTGGATGGGTGTGCTGCAGGCCTGCCAGAGGAGACCTGCGGGGTGGACTACGAGGCTTGGATGCAGTGTCACGTCATTGTCCGAGCAGGGACCTGAAGGGATGGGCTTTACAGGGATTGCAGGTCCGTACCTCTGTTTCTATTCTATATAGGTATCTTTGAGGGGGGTGCGTGGAGGGGGGTGGTGGAGGGGGAGAGAGATGGTGTGAAGCATTTTTTTAAATGCAGCGCAGGAGGGAGTTGCAGGAGATGGTGGTGGGTTGCTGTGGGCCTGTTCTGCTGCAATCTATTTGGAGGGATAGAATTGTGGGCAGCAGAGGTTGAGTGGGTGTGAAGAGCTTAGAGGATGGGTTGAGTTGGGGCCATGGGGGTGGTTGAGCTTATGGGCTGTGTATGTGGTGGTTGGAGTATCACTGTGGATGTGCCAAAGGATCTAATCTGATTAAAGAGACCACCCACTGGTAAAGGTTAGGTTTAGTAGACCTCTCGCCGCACTAACACGGAGATGATCGAGTGACAGGCACACCCACGCCTACCCACCCACGTCCGACCGCCCCCGAATCTCTCCACCCCCATTCCCTTCTATCCACTCAGTCATTTTTCGAGCCCTCCACCCTATTCCACTACTCTACCCACTCGAATACCCCCCTGTCTGCCCTGTGGACACTGTCTTGGCCTCTTGCTCTTCAGTATCCCGAGTCCGCGCTTTCAATAGAGTAACACGTACCAGGCATAGTAACATTTACTCACTCATTTGCACCACTCAGAGAACACTCAGGATTTAGCATCCGTAGTCAGATTTTTTTGTCCTTATCTTGTGCTCGCGCCCCCCCTCGCTTTCTACCTTCTACCTCCCCCCAACAGTCAGCCATCCAGTCCTCTTGCTTATCTTCCGCTGCCTGCCCGCCGACCTTAGCCCTGAATCTTTTGTTTTAACATCACCTCACCGCCCTCTTTCGATTCCTTCTCATCCTCGCGATCTGAGCATCAACCAGTCCACTTCAAGACTACAATACATCAACCCCATACCAAATATGCTTCTTCCTCCTACTGAACGCCGCGAGTCGGGAGCTATCATCCCCTCCGCATCACAAACACAAACGAATGCACAGCCTTCCATCCCCAGGCCCGTTCGTGTCCCTGATGGAACCCTCAGACTCAGAGGAGGTCCTGTCGAAGATCGCCGTGTTAGATGGGGCGCCGATGTCATTGACAACGAAGGATTAGGAAGAAAGAAGTCTAAAGGTTTGTTACTAAATTCCCTCGATTCGTGGTCGTTTGACTACTAGTTGCCAGACTTCAAACCTTAGTAAGTGAACATCAATTAACATGTGATTTTCCTCTCCAATAGTATGCTGCATCTACCATCGCCCAAGAGCCTACGATGAGTCCTCAAGCGATGATAGCGATTCCTCATCCGACGATGACAGCGACGCTAGCGATCACCGACACGGAAAAGACTGTGGACACGGTTCGATGAGGAATTCCCGCTCAAAGGGCAAGGGAAAGCCCAGCAAGAGAGGACCAAGCCCAAATGCCTACGAGAAGATGCCCAAGACAAAGAAGAAGGCGTAAATGACTGGTTCATCGGCTTGTAGATTGGGTTTTGGGTCTTCAACATAGAGAGGAAAAACAGGGTTCGGCCTGAGGTGTTTATTTTTTAACTTGTGATTTCTTCTTATTCTTCTTTTTCTTCTCGAGAGGCGTAAAGTTTTATGGATATTGCTTGCAGTTCCTCTTCAATTCTTCTAGTCTCTATATTATTTTTTAGTCTTTTTTGTTTCATTTGTTTCCGGAGAACAATGGAAAGAAAAAAAAAGCTGGCTGTTTGGGTCTACAGTTAGCATCTGGGTTATTTTTCTTCATTACTTCTTCTCCTGGGCCATGTGGAGTTTCACGGAACACAATTGTTGTAGCTGCGAGTTTCTATATCCTCATCGTCATAATGATGAAACTACACATTTAGGTACTTAAGTCTCTGGAATTTACATGGGGGAGGAATTCTCTGGTGGAAAAAAAACAACTTTTTTCTTGGTAATAATTGCTTCTGTACCTTGCCAAGTGTGTGCTGCTAGCACAGGGTCTTAGTTAACGGCTTCCATGGTCCGTGCGTCTGCATGTAAATGCGGCTCAATGCCGTGACAACGTTGCAGTCAACGTCGACAACAATTACTTATACATATACAGTCACGTCACCAGCTCATAACTATTGAAATCTGACCTTCTTGCCATTCTTCCCATCACTCCACCAATATCTACGTCAAAAAATGGCCTCCGCTGACCGTTCCACCGAAACCGAGGAATACCTTCCTAGTCTCTACCGTCCTTCAACAGTTCTCCCCATATCTCGACACCGAAATGCTCTTCTGTACCTCATCGAAAACCATCCAGTGACCATCGTAGTAGGCCAAACCGGGTCAGGAAAAACCACACAGCTACCCCAATATCTAAACGAAGCGGGATGGGCACGAGATGACAAGATTATCGCGTGTACGCAGCCCAGGAGGGTTGCAGCCACCACAGTCGCAACAAGGGTGGCCGAAGAAATGGGTGTGAGGCTGGGTGAAGAGGTTTTGTGAGCCCCTGTCCATTATTATACCTTACCTCAGTTACGGATAATAATAAATCCCATTATTGTTGGGGCAGCATGTGCTGCTCGAATATAACTTTTTTTTTTTTTATTTTGGCTTTTTTTTTTCTTGTCCTTGGCTACATAGCTATAGCTATCAATAGCGACATGTGTTATTTTACTGGGCTGACGGTTTTTGCGGGGTTTCCGCGAAATAATATTACTTTTAGGTGGGTTACTCCATACGTTTTGAAGACATGACATCCCCGCGCACACGGATAAAATACATGACGGATGGAATGCTGCTCCGAGAAGCGCTGGTGGATCCTTTGCTATCCAGGTATTCTGTTGTCATGATCGACGAGGCGCATGAGCGCAGCTTAAGCACAGATATATTGCTTGGGATATTAAAAAAAATTAGGAGGAAGCGAGAAGAGCTAAGGATTGTGATTAGTTCCGCTACTCTCCAGGCGGAGGAATTTGTCAGATTTTTCGAGGGCGACGAGACGCCCGACAAGGGCAAGGGCAAAGGGAAAGAGGTAGACAAGAAGGAATTGGCAAAAATCATCTCGCTGGAGGGAAGATGCTATCCGGTGGATGTACTCTATTTAGAGGAGCCTACGGAAAATTACGTAGAAAAGGCTGTGCAAACAGTTTTTGATATACATCTCAAGGTAAGTTTTGTTACTACGATTCGTTTGGAATATTTTTTCCCTCCAATTTTTCCAAATCTTCAATCGCTGCAGTTCTGGAATGGGGAAAGAATCGGCTCTTCCTTTAATCAATGATTTCTGATATATCTGAGACATGCAGGAAGGCGAGGGCGACATCCTACTCTTTCTCACAGGCCGGGATGAGATCGAAAATACTGTTTCTGCGATCCATTCGCGTTCCCAAGATCTCCACCCCCGGGCCCCACAGCTCTTACCCCTGCCCTTATATGCAGGTCTACCGCAGGACGCCCAACTTGCCGTTTTTGAGCCTGCACCTGAAAACCACCGTAAGGTGATAGTATCTACCAACATTGCGGAAGCATCAGTCACAATCGAAAAAATTTGCTTTGTTATTGATTGCGGGTTTGTCAAGCTGCGAGCTTTTAACCCGCATACGGGGATCGAGTCATTAACTGCAGTTCCGATCTCAAAGGCCTCTGCTACACAGCGGGCGGGAAGAGCAGGAAGGACAAGGGCGGGAAAGTGTTTTAGATTATACACTGAGAGTGCGTTTCAAGAGGAGATGGCTGATATGGGCGTACCAGAGATCCAGAGGAGCAATCTAGCCCCAGTAATTTTGCAGCTAAAGGCACTTGGGATTGATAACGTTGCTCGTTTTGCTTTTATCACGCCACCACCGAGTGAGTTAATGGTGAGGGGCTTGGAGCTGTTGTACAGTCTTGGGGCCTTGGATGAATATGCAAGACTTACGAAACCACTGGGTCTGAGGATGGCAGAAATGCCGTTGGAGCCCATGACAGCAAAGATTGTGAGCTGAATTTTCTCAAGTCTTACCTAATCCTGGAGGGCACGAAAGGTAGCAGGTACTAACCCCAGAAATAGCTACTCAATTCTGTGGAATTTGGGTGCACTGAGCAGATTCTTAGTATTGCTGCAATGACGAGCGTTCAAAACGTCTTTATCAGCCATGAAGGCGAAAAGAAGCCCGCTGAATCGGCCAAGCGACGCTTTGCGGTTGAAGAGGGAGATCACCTGACTTTACTGAACGTCTACCAAGCATTTACAACTAAAGGTGGCCAGAAATCATCGTGGTGCAGAGATCATTACCTGAATTTCAAGTCACTATCTAGGGCCGTATCGGTACGCGCACAGCTGAAAAAATACTTGGAAAGATTCACTGTGGACGTGGAGAGGGAAAAATCCCGGTCACAAACGGCTACTGGTGAAAGTATCAGGAGATGTCTCACTACAGGTTATTTCGCCCACGCCGCTAGAATGCAGCCAGATGGGAGCTTTAGAAATATCAGTGGTGATACGGTGCTCTGGGCGCATCCTAGTAGCGTCATGTTTAATCGGAAGGCAGATTGGGTGATATTCCATGAAGTTGTGGAAACTGGAAATAAGACTTTTATCAGAGATGTATGGCAAGCTTCCAATATCACTTCCCCCCACTACCACCCAATTCTGCAAGCGAGGTATGTTTTATTTCAACATGCACTAACCATCCGATTTCATCGCGATTTTAGGTTACGTCTGTACAAAAAGACTGGTTGCTGGAGTATGCGCCAGAGTTTTACCAAGTGCGCAAGTAGGTATTTAATACATCTGGGCGGTGATCGTAGATTAGTGTCGCATGTGTAAAATACCAAAAAGATCTAGTTAGGTGCGGGAATTGCCGAAAACAAACATTTCCAGGGGTGGGGTTGCTGGGGGCCTTGGCAAAACACCTTTGCGGGTACGATGTTGTTCTCGGCACTTAGTAGCCACATGTAGTAACTGAATACAACTCCAACGTCACAGTAAATGTTCAATCATTTGTCCTCAGAGCTTTACCAGGCCATGGCTCGCAATACCAATGGTCAAGGTAATAGAACCAGCACAATACTTCTTCTCACTATCTTTGTTATTCTAGCAGCTGTACAGTACCCATTCGTGTTCTCGTGGCTACAAAAGATCTCAGGTCAACGAGCTTCCTCAAACCCAATGAGCTCTAGCTACCAGCCCGGACTATTCAATATGTCTTCAGCCCATAAGCCACAGACAATCAAGTTTTCAGACGGATCGAGCCGACAAAGAGCTCGACAGCGGATATTGAGGCAATTGACAAAGACCAAGGGCTGGGAGCGCGATACAAGTCACCCCAGGCGGAGGGTACTAAGTGCACTTGTGGGGTTCCTAGAGTACAGGGAGAAGATGGAAGAAGCCGTTCGAAGGAAGAGAGATGGGTGGAACAAGTTGACTGTTAGACAGAAGGAGGTTTGTTGTAGCTTTTTTTCCACCAATTTTTCGTTTCCATATCGTCATCTTCATAGTGGGTTTTGGAGCCCATCGTGTTGTTTAACCGCACTTCTCGCCTGTCAGATTTACATCAAATGTAGATCATGGCTGGTTCTGTCTTTCAAGTCTACATCAATTAACCCGGAGCGCAAAGTCAGACATGACGTACTAGGGAGAAACCGAGATTGTGGAAAGACACTATCGAGATTATTTTCTGAAAATCCTATTTTATCTTTTTTTGTGTTCCTGGGCTAATATGCGTATCGTTGATCCCATCAGCTTATGTCTACAGTTCCCTACGGCGAGAAGCTGGAAAAGACATCCGCTCTCATTCGCGAGAACGACAACCTGGTGCAGAAAATCGTCGATCATGGGCTTTCATACTACGATCTGACATTTACCGAGCTCTTGTCCTTCAGATCTGCGCACAAGAACGACACCAGGTCTGTGGCGGACCACAGTTCAGTGATACAGTCTTTAAAGCACTTTATCCGCGACTGGTCCGCCGCGGGAAGCCATGAGAGAGATACGACCTTCCCGCAAATCCTCACTACCCTGGAATCACTCTATCCTGACCATGTAGGACGAGGGCAAAAGAAAGTCCTTGTTCCTGGCGCGGGGTTGGGGAGGTTATCGTACGAGATTGCTGCCATGGGGTTCCAAACTGTTGCGAATGAATACAGCTTTTATCAGAACCTAGCACAACTTTGGATACTTTCCCTCCCCAACACAACACAAAGGGAGTCCTTCAAGCTGTACCCATTCATTAACTGGTGGTCACACCAGCGTACAACCACCTCGCTGCTTCGCGGTGTCTCATTCCCGGACACGGAGCTGTCGGCTTTGGCACTCGAGAAACTCTGCCTGATCGACGGTGATTTCACGACTGCGTTTTACGCAGAGGCCAGTAGTTATGACGTTGTCGTGACACTGTTTTTCATCGATACGGCGCGTAACATTGTTGATTACCTAGACAAGATACACGCCGCTTTGAAACCCGGGGGAGTGTGGATCAACCTCGGACCGCTACTGTACGGGACGAGCCCGTGGTTAGAGCCGTCACTTGACGAAGTCTTGGCAATTGCGGAGAACATAGGGTTTGAATTAGTACCGACAGAGGAGAGGTGGGGGACGGACTCCTTTGCAGATGTGGAAGCTTGGAGGGGCAAGGTGAGGGGTGCGTTTGCGGGGTACGGTTGGGATCAAGACAGCCTTAGTCGCAACGCCTATTCGGCGCAGTTTTGGGTGGCGGTGAAGAAATAACTACTCTACATGCAGAGTAGGTAGCATGAAATAGATATCATATCAGTTTATATCACGACAGAAGGGAATGCTGGTTGAGTTTTTGTGGTTGTGATAGTTACCAAACCCACCTCCATAGGCATTCTTATCATGAAAAGTAGTCGGGCGAAGATTTGAATAGGAATCCATTGGATAACTAAGAAACAGATACCTATCTATAATACCTACTATCGTGAGAAGCCACGATAGTGGGAAAAGAGGCTCGTATTCCGAGGTTAATCCGGGCGTGGGGGTTGTCCGGTACGACGACTCAGATCAAAACCGAATACCTAACCGCCCAAAAGTGTATCCCTGTTGTGGCTAGGTTAAAAACACGTTTTTTGGAGAACGTAGTTTAGAACCCTCAGTTATCAAAAGATATAGGTACTCGCGCGGCCGAGTTTCGACTTAATCACATGACCTATGAGCAACGCAAAAACCTGTTAAATAGCGTCACGTGAGTAAGTCGAAACTCGGCCGCGCGAGTAGATCTTTGAATTAAAAGCTCCACTCGGCGTACACCATGCCTTACACACGTGCCAGGGATTCATCTAGTTCTCAAAGTGGAATCATCTATATCGTATTTCCCAAAAGGTGGCAGTGATGTTGCGAAAGTGACCGATAGATTGAGCTTTTCGAACTTTCTCCTGCAGCTCTAGTTTTGGAGAAAGGCATGAATGTATAGCTATCCGTTTAGGGAGGAAGAAACTCAGGGCCGAACCAGGACGAAAGAAAGAGAATGCCAGGGACCGGCCAATGCTCACAACCCATGCCCATATATTGTTAGGGGGATACGGGATCTTTACCGCCATGGGATCGCTAATCGAACATCGGTTACGATTCGACCTAGTTGCTTTGTGACGAACATCACCTGTTGTCACTCGGTTATCCTGAGGGTGAAGTTTTTCCGAAATGCCGTTATGAATGGAACATACATGGGAAAGAGAAAAGCCCCTTTAGAGAATCACAGATAAATTAGGTGTGTCTGTGGGAGAAGACACGTTTTCCACCCCCCTTCTCTTCATCCCCGCAGAGTTCGGGCAAGATTTTTTTAAATAAAATCATCAGCCGAGTGCTGGGCTGTGAAAGCAGCGACAGTAGTACCATAACAGTTTCACAAGGGCGCTTTAACTTACCCATGAGATAGAGAAAGTAACTCGTTGATGGATGGCGCATACAGGTTTAATCCCGCACACATGTGTCGTTATTAATATCAGTTTTCCGATCGATCGATCGATCGCATCTCCCTGAATAAATATGCACATAAAATGTCGCAAAAACGCCTGGCAAACATTGGTAACCTTGTGAGTTTTTAGTGGCCAGATATCAATTAGTTCAAGAGAGATGTTTGATTGGCTATACCGTAGAAATGTTTCAATACCAACTTCCTGATTTTTGAGCATATTTTTTATCGTCAATGGAGATAAGTAGGTTAATTGTAAACCTTTGTTTCTCCTCTTGAAAAAAAATTTGCACTTCCCCTCTTTCTTTCTTTCTTTCCTTCGGCCGCATCTTCCACTTCTCATCTCGTTTCGTTTCGGTTTTCTATTTCTTTTTTGCTTCCGTTGTACCTTTTTGGGGCCAGGCCGCTGTTGACGCTGCTAGTAATGACTGCAGGACCTTAGTTTCGCCAGTTCGCCAGTTCGCCCAGCTTCACTTTGGTAAGTACATATGTCGTCCTTTCATTCCCAGAATCTCACACGGTCCCTTTTTCTGCTTTATTGCATCCACTCTTCTATTCATTTCTACTCACCGCCTATGAAGACTTATAGTTAGTAGTTTGCAAGTTAGCTATCAATGCAGCCCTCCAGGGTTGGAATCTACCTGTTTTACCGCCTTTTCCACTCTAAAAATCGAACTCTGATTCCATATGTATTATCCTCATATAATAGAAACACGTGCTGGAAATTAAGATGAGACCGTTATCGAATTTTCGTATCTGGGGAAAGAGCCGGCATATTACATACAGGAGCCCAATTTCGAATGATTAAAGAAGTCTAAAAGACTAGTTGGCTTCGAGGGATATGGCCGTTATTGCGTTATCAATTGGATCGGACTTTTCTTTCTTAAGGGAAAGCCGAATTGATGCCCGCCCTAGATATCGACGCGGGACAGCCAGCCGGAATTGAGTGGAACTCTAGAGTATAAGTCATTAACAGGGTGCGGTCTGAGATAATTGGCCCCATTGGAAGCAATTTTTGATAACCCAAATACCAATAGCTTTAGGATTCGGAAGCTAGTGTTGAAACTCACCTTTTAGGTACGCGAGACTATGCCTGAAGTACGTGCATCTGCTTCGCTGCAACGCGCATCCTCGACCTGCATATGTGCCAATTGCTATTTATCCACGCATTCTACTTCGGTACTCGAGACCTGGGAACCCAAGCGAGCGAGAAAAAGAAAGAAAGGTTTTTCGGTTCTGGTTGTTTTTGGTACTTTTACGTTTCGTATATTTTTTGATTCGTTTCAACGGTTCTGTAGTGGGCGGCGGCCGGCAATCGCTCATCCCACTCTGTCAATGTTACTCGGTAGACGGCAGATGGATCTACAATTTTCTTTTTGTTAGCTAGAGTAGATGGTCAGGAGGCTAGCAGCGGCAGTCAAAAAACAAAATTCATAGTCAGTAAATAGGCCCCACGAGGCAGAAAAATGGAATAAACCCCACGCGCACAGTATAGCATATACGTACTTCGTGGGATGTGTACTGAGATCGAAATACTTGTAGCCAATAAGACTTACTTTGAAAACTCAAACATGGTGGGGAAATTTCAATCCTCAGTGATGATGATGTTCCCGAGGCTGGTACTTGTTACAATAAGCATTACGTTAGGCTAGTTAACAATGTAAGCCTCAAGCTTTGAGGGGGATCCACGTACGGTTTCATGTTGCTTTTTGATTTTCAGCTACTGTCGCATGCCGTGCATCTCGCAGTTAGCTAATCACAGGAAATCACTCGTTTTAAATATACGATCAATCACTTCGTGGCCAGGGCTCCATCATGTGCCTACGGAAGACTCGATTCATAAGACTTTGTAGATCATACCGTTCTAAATGGAACGGATAGTCCCTTATTGAGTGGGGGTCTTATAAAACATAGAACATAAGGAGTTAGTGAGTTTAAAGAAGAAAACAATTATTGGTAGATCATCCGTCTTTGCTCGTACCGGGAACCGAAAAGTTCGTTTAATGCACGTACCAGGGGATTTTAACATCCAGTCCTGTTCCCCACAAATATCATCACTTCCGTGTCATTTTGAGACCTGTCAGGTACGCAGATCTGCCGAATCCTAGCGTTAGACGACCGAACGCCTCAAAAATAGTAATAACGGGAAAGGTCCAGAAAGCCGCCGTCTTAAAAATGCTACCGGCGTTGGCAGAATAACGAATTCTGTCTCCGGTAGGCTTCTATGTACTCGTGATTGTAAAACGCTTCCGAATACGACTGGGTTTGCATGCCACCAAAAGACGTAGGTACACAATGCAATATTTCCCTATATGTGATCCGGCTGTGACCGGAAGCGTCTGATAAAAAGCACACGCACGCACGCACATGTACCTATCTTTTATATTAATGTTTTGAGAAGACATAGACTGGTAAACTAAAGACAGAGTTGGCAAACTGCAAATCGGCTTTGAGGATGAGATGAAGATACCGCCAAAACTCGAAAAGTTGGCTATCTCCGACTAGGGATTACCGTTCGAGTGATTGGTTGGATGGTATCGATCTGCATAAGAAGTTTCCCGTAGCAGTAATTTTGATCTAGCCAATTTTTTCGAGTTATGGCGGTATCAAGGTGAATTTATGTGGCGTTGTGGAATTAGATGTAGTCTAGTAGTACCTACACACGTTAAAGCTGCCAACTCTGCCAAGGATCATGTCTCAATCCTGTGGCTTGCGTGCAAGGCTCGCCTGATGTTACTATATCTTATGTTGGCAGCATTTAAGTAACAGCTTAAGGGATACGTATATCATGGCGTTGAATCGTGCGAGCAGCATGCTGCTCGTAGCGATTGGACCTAAAATCTGTCGTGCGGGCTGCGGAAACCCTAATAATTTGATGTTCGAACCACATACAGTTAGTGGCACCCATAGGCCAGATCAGATCCGATATCATATCGAAAACAAACATCTTTTGTATAATATTCTGATACATGATCTGATCGTGATCAGGGCATTTCACATGGCCAAGATGAGAACTCGGGATGCATTCTTATATATGACCGCAAAAAACCTCCTCAACTCACCAGTCATCAGCAAAGGAGGCCACTACCCAAATCTCTTATTTGATGACTATGCAGGGTGAGTCCGGTTGCTGATTCTTAGGAATCTCCAGAACATGTGTGCTATAGCTGATGATTGGTTGGCACTGAATCGGAATCGTGATTTCATCGATGATCTATCCGATGGAGGTGACACCAAAACTCACGAAGTCAACGTCTATTAGATACCCCATCTAGTCTTATCATTTGCTTATCCCAAGTGCATGTAGTGTAGGTACTGAGACGGTATTTAAGGGTCCACCATTCGATTCTTGGCGTTGGTACTAAGTTCTTTTGAAGATATAGTATATTCTCCCTCATAATGGTTATGTAGTAAAATTTCCATTGGCCATGGTTAGATCTGACCATTTAGAGAAGTTTATATTCTAATGCTGTGTTAGATTTCACCTAAATAACGACTTTAGGTGGCTTTCTTCCAAAATCCCAATAAGCCTCACTTGTAAATGACGCTTTTGCGGAGTATAGACTGGACTGCTGTTACTATGCCGCCGCCATCGCGTGGTGTAATGCATGAGACCGCTCGGTAGAGGTGGATAAGGTTACCTCGAGACCTCCTGTCTTGATGGAGAATCTACCTCGTTTTTAGCACCAATGGAACTTTACATCCAGGTTCTCGAGGTAACTTGAGGCGAAGGTAGTAGTGTCTATATCAAATAGCCTGATGGTCACGAACCCTTTGGATTATGATGCCTTATAGACTGACTATAATATAAGTGCTTCAAGGACTCAGGCTGCACTATAACGCGGAATACCTCTGTAGTGGATGTACATAGTACTTCGAGGGTGAAGTAAACAGGCGGCAGGTAGTGGGGCCATGGCCAAATGTTTGCAGTATAGTACAACCATGTGCACCTGTGTATGGATTTTTCTCCTTCACTTGGATAGTTCCCTCCTTCTCCACATGGCCACCGTTGCGGCCTTCCGTGGAAATTCGGCTTGCACCACACCATGTACTGGTAGTCGACCGGCGCCCCTCTCAACGAAACAACCACCTTCAGCGAGATCAGAAACGTTTGGCCGTATGGCATAGGTAGCCATTAAGCAACCCACTCCATATAGCAATACTTCCAAGTAACTCCAACGGGGGTCCTTTCACTGGTGGGAAAGCCGGTATATCGATCTAGCTCTTTTCTCCATGAGATCTTCCAGTTACAAACCCGAACCATCTTTGACATACGTCGAATATAAACTATCGAGGTTAGCGATAGTGTCATAAGCTGGACGAGATCCATGAAAGGGCTGAGGTAAGTACTCGACGATGCCACGACTCAGTTGTTGCACCGGTGTTCAAATATATGTCACTCATGTGTCGGGTCGTTCAGCGTCCCCCATGATTGCTAGGTTACCCGGTATCTTACTTGCCTCGAAGTGTGACCCGGCCCAGCCCAAGTCATTCGATTTCTAGACCTGATTCTTATGGCGCCCGCAATCTCCCTCGATTGACCCCAGGGCCCATGGACACGCAATTGATTGATTAATTGATTATTTCATTAATCCCAAATTTAGGACAATTCGTATTTTCCCTCACTATCGACCGGACATATCTAAAGGGAATCGGCTTTAACCCCTATTGTATTTTCAGCCAGAGGCTAGTTCTCACTCGTACTACGTATGTTCATATAGTCTCTCTTATTTATGCAAGCCTGATATATTGCGTTCTTCATATGAGACCGACTGGTTGGTTTGGAAGTGTTATCTTGATATGGGTCACAATTACCAGCGAAAGAAAGTAATTCAAATCATGGAGAGGCTCCGTATCGGACCAAATATTAAACCTGTAATTGGACACTTGTCGTATTATATTTTGAATTTAATCATGGAATATCACTCGACTGATATCAATCTATCTTTTGCCCTACTGTACCGTCCTAAGATGTAATCTAGTGCGCTACAGGTGGTCCAGGGGTTTTAAATCTTTTGAGGATGCCACCACACCTTCAGAACCTTCCTAACAAATACCACAACGATATAACCTGGTTGATATATTTCCCTAACACTAGACAGGCTCGATGGGGCCATAATCATTTAATGTTTACAGGTATTTCCCTACTATTCATCGCCCGCCTTTGTCGTCTGAAAATATAATCTCCGTGGTAGAATTCCCCTTCCACAGTCCTGGGGCCGGCAACGCAACCGGCCTCGGAACTGGCGCAGGTAATGGAGTGCCCGTCGCCGCTGGCCTATTCTGCAACGGCGGTGCTATAATCGGTGGTATCTGCTGCTGCGGGTGTGACTCTCGCGTCGGCCTCTGTGGTTGTAGCACAGGTGTTTGCGAGAGGCGTATAGCTTGCATTGCGTTCGTTATCTCACTAGGTAAAATCATCAGTTATCACTCGCCACTAAAAAGAAGGGGATTAAGGTGCACACACTCCTCAAACTGCCCTGCTTCCATTCTTCTCCCATATGTAAAACTTTTACATCCGTCTCTCCATCTTACCATTAGTTTGTTGAGGTCGTTGTAGAATTTCCGGCCGACATCAAGGTTGTTCATGATTTCGCGGTATCTTAGGTATGCGTTCTCAAGACCTTGTAGCGCCTTTTCTCGGTCCTTATTTACGTTTTCTCCTTTACGGCAAGCCAGGAACGAGCTGTTTGCCTCGCGTAATCGCTCTATTAAATCTTGTTGGGCTTCGGATTCTTCGGCTAGAAGGGAGCGCTCTGTTGAGTAGTGAGAGGATAGGCGTGACTCAAAAAGGGGCTCAAAGTGAGCAGGCTCGAGTTTGCAGAGAGGATTGGCACGTTCAAGGGAGGAAGCTTCGTTAAGAATTGCGGATGCTGAGGGGAGTTAGTTGAGCGACAGAGGTAGACATAAAAAACAGAGCGAATTACTAATGTCATCTGCTTTGGCCTTCTCACGAAGACTCTCAATTTTTCGACGTCTTCTAGACTCAAGTCTAGATACTTCGTTGAGGCATTGCCGTAACTTTCCAACTTCACGATCCATCTTTGGCGTGAGGGTAGCCCTTGCGGAGTTTGGCACAAAGTCTTGAAGGGCCCGCTATACATGGCAATTTAGTTAGCACATACTACACGGAACACACCAAGAGAAACTCACACTATCCCCTCCTCCCAATAACCTCAATAATCCCTCATTCTCTTCCATCTTATTCTTTACCACCCGGTCACTATTCTCCGCACTCTTCAATATCCCATTATACTCATCCACATGTGCCCAAAATCCCGCGCCTGCAGCCTTACTCGGCTCTCTAGACCATCGATCGGTCCCATGCTTCGCTCTGAGCTTATCATCCTCTTTTTCCTCGGCCTCCAGCATCTCTACCGCTTCTTGATATATCGCATGGTCGGTCGCCTTCAACTTTGCGATGTCGTCCATACTTCTTAACAGTGTGCCAATCCCCCCTTGTTGGTGCATCTCCTCCGCATGAGCAATGATACCCGGGGGAAGACCGAGTGGCTTTTCAAGGGCCTGGAGGGAACCAGGGAGGCCGAGAGATTGAAGCAGGTCATGAAGCCTCGTGGTCAGAGACGAGAGCTCTTCAATTAAAGAGGTATTGACTAGTCTGTCACGACGCTCCGCGTAGATGCTGGCCGCTACGTGAACAGCAAATGGTACGAGCTTCGCAAATAGCGGAGCACCATATGGGCCTCCTTCTACGAGTAACGTCTGAGATTCTGAGATTTCCTTTGGAATTTTGCTATTCACCATTGGCGCGCGTTGGATCTTTGTCAGTGCACTCGCCGGTGGGACTGGATTGAGATAAATCAAGTCGTTATCCTTCTCCGCGCCTTTCAGAGTGTCTGTAACTTTCTCTTTCAATCCCTGGAGATCACCCAGGACAATCTTATTGAGGTATCGTGCTTCTTTCAAAGCCTCGTTAACCGCATCCAGAGCATCCTTTAAGCGGGCGACCTCCTCTCCGTATTTGCTCTTCTCTAAGCAATCACACGCAGCCCTATACTGCGCTGCCGCAGCAAAGTGGTGGTGCTTGGCGCTCATATGGTGGATCCACTCGCTGGAGATACTTGAGCTCTTAATTGCGAGCTCCCCAGCCGCGTCATAGAAGTCGGATACTTTGGCGGCAAGCTTGGATACCAGACTGTCTTTATGCCCGTCGACGACGGCCTTAAGCCAGAAACATTCTTGTGCCTGGGCGAGCATGAGCTGTTCTACGCACTCGAGGGTAATGGGATCCATATCTTCTGGCGGAGTGGAGCGAAGCTCAGGCAGTACTGAGTCCTTGAGGTACGACATGACCCCAGCGGCCGCGCAGAAGTAATTACAAGCTACCTTGAGCCCATTTTGAGTATCACGAGGAGAAGAGGTGGCGAGCTGGGAGTAGAGAGACGCGAGATTATAGAGGATATTTGCGCGCTCAAATTGGAGATTATTTTGCGTCACTGGCGGCGGCAATCAGAAACAAACCCAGAGTTGCTCGTAAAACAAGCGGCAAAGGAAAAAAAAGAGGTTACCTACCAGGTTTATGGGTATTGTATCCTAAAGCTGGATACCATGCAAAGTCCGCTCCAATCTTCCATCCCACCACATCAGTGAGTGTTCTCAAGCAGCTAAATAACTTCCGAAAGACATACATCTATGGGGAATTTCCCACTGATCCATTGCAACTGGGCTGCGTAGCCCGATATCTTGGCTATACCACTAACGTGCGCTTCCTGAACATGGACGGCGTCGGTGCGTAGCTTATCGATTGCAGTGAGGTCCGCAGCGAACATGTCGGGGTGTTGATCATATTTTGTTGATATATACTGTTTGATCGCATCGGAAAGGCTAAGAAGTACAGACTTCCGAAAGGGTAACTGCGGGGGTCAGTAGAGGTTTAATCAGGCGTTTTGGAGGTGGAGATGAATGGTGGGGGAGGTACGTCGAGTATGTTTGAGCTAGTGGGAAAACCTGGTTAGTCTAGGTAGAATTAAGGCGGAAGCGGAGGTTCAGGCAGCTTACGAAGTCATTTCAACAGACGAAAGGTGTTAAACTGGAGGTAATATGAAGGGGACTCTTTGAATGGGAACACTCAGGGATATCAGCGAGGGCGAGAGGAGAGTCCCCGGTGGTGGGGTTGAACGAGATATGAAGACTCCAGTTGGGGTGCGCATGCGTAGTTGTAACAGGGCTCACTGGTGGAACGTGCACTGGGGTTGTAGCCAAGCAGGGGTACATACAACCAATGACGTGTTGTCGTTGCATGAAAGACCTAGCTGGGTACATGTACGTTCAACTCCACAAAAATTGTATTAGAGTACAGTATTTATTGCTTTCTGAAAACCACCATAGAAACCCTATTGTTCGTATTTAACTACACTAGGGTTGGTCCGGTGTTCGCACCGCGAAGAGTGATTGACAACCTACATGTAGATACGTGATACGTTTTTAACCTGGTCCCGTGTTAAACTTAATTGGTATTCAAATTTAGTTGTGAACAAATTCGGTTGTGATTATTGCCGAACCTTTTTGCCTCCAAAGTTTATGTGTAGGTTTTTAGTGCTGTTAATTGCCATACAACTCGTTTCTAGGTCTGACACAGTACTTGGTCAAATACATTACTGGTAACAATGATGGATCCATAACTTTATAAACGATTTGGTTGTAGATTTATAGATCATAGTTTAATTACGTTCCTTCCCTTAATTTATAGTTGTCTCTGCTGAAAACAGACCACCCCCTCCCTTAGAGAGTGTGCTGAGAGTTCGTTACATGTAGGCTTCCACCACTGTTCCGCTAGTTTTTCTCCTTCTTTGCTAACCTACATTTAGTAAATGTAGATAATACGTCTGGGTTTGGCACTAGTCAGGGATGATAATAGACCCTATTTAACGATTAGAAGGCCCAGATCGTCATCCTCAATGCGAAACAGGTGTTTTTACATGGGCTGGCTCGGAGTCAGTACGCGTTGGTCGAGGCCAACTTTAGAGAGCTCTACCGACCCTGATATACATGTGTCTACATGTAGTCTTTGTAGTTAGGCCCCTAATCTACTAACTAAAGAAAGGAAAACTTCCATAAAGATGAAGGTGCCGAATTTTGGCATGTACGACTTGTCTTGGCCTTGATCCAGCGGCCAAGTTTAAAACAAAAACCAGTAGATCTTACGGTCCCATGTCTAACTAGTCCATCTGTCAACCTACATGTAGTTGAATAAGGAATTCCACCACTGGGTTTTGGAATACGTACCCAAAAACTAGGAGTGCCATCCTTCTTCTAATATGTATATACATGTATGGAGGAACCACGGGTTCAAGAGGTCCCTTCACTGGCGGGGGAGGACCCTGGGGTTGGGGGGGGGGGGCGTCTCATGGGGTGATATACAATTAACTGGAAAGATCAAACAACTCGCGGTTGCGAGTCCCCTCCACTGCTAGTGTTATGTACTATTCGAGGGTCACGGTGGAGGACGGAAGTATGCTACCGACTCATTAGCGCTCATGGATTTTTAAGGGAATTAGAAAATTACCTACCATCAACCACTTCCTGTGGCCTAACAAGCTGAAGTGTCGCCCAGAGGGGCCGAGGTCGATAGTTTGAACCTCCCAGACTTGGTGGGAAAGTATACACTGTGTGACTGGGTAAAGGAGCAGAGCGGGATGCCTCTCCTTTTTGCTGCTTTGGACCTTGGAACACGGAATTTCCTTTTTTTTTTTCTTTTGCTCCGTTTTTTGAAACTTTGAACGGCACCCACGAACTCCTCGAGGGTCGTACTGACTCGTTCTTATGTGTGCCAAGACGGTGTCTAGTGCTAGATTTCCTTATGGATTACATGTATTTGATCAAAACCCACCTCTCACCAATCACTCACCTGTATCTGCTGTGGCGTTATCATTCCCTGCTATAAGCCTTTAGCATGCCAGTTTATCTCGCTATCGGTATATGAAAATGCGGCGAATATGGATAGATACATATATCGAGTGATATTTCATGAGTCAAGAGTATGGGCCGTGTCACGCTCCCCCAAAGGCTTAGCCTGACCAACACATCCCCTAACCCCCATACATCATCAATTCTATAGTTTCTTTTCTAAAGATTCGCAGTTGCTTCAACCCTGTAGCTATCTCTTTTTACTTACCTTTTCTCGGATTCTAACAATATCAATTAGTAAGATATCCTAAGGGAGTTGAGACCAAACGTCCGAGACATCCTTTCAGAAGGCGGATATATCTTTGATAAACGGCATCTTGATCGCTTGATTTAGTTGGCGGGTCCTGCCTTCGAATCTCGATTAATAGTTGATTTTGCCCAAGAGCTGAAGACATGACGGGGTACGAAGATAGGTATTTGTTCAACCTCTACAAGAACGCCTACTCTAGGCAGCTATCTAACATGCATTCAACGATATAAAACTATAAATGGCGCAAAGGTAAAATGAAGGAAGAAAAAGGAAAAGGAAAAAAAAGGTAGATATACCCCGCTACTCCGTTCCCACAAGCGCAGAACCCGCCTCCCCAGCTAGCTCCTCATGACCTCTTCTTCTTCAACTCCTGATTCAGCATCTTCACCCCCTCGTCCACCACCACACCCCCACCAACCCTACACTTATTCCACACCTCCCACTCCCACCTCACCACATCCACCTGCGTGCACAAATCCTTGACACATGCCCACTGCCCCACCCACAATATCCACTCCCACAACCTCCTCCCACCCGTCAGCCTCTCCAGCCCCCAACTCCCCTCCTCTCCCATCCTCGTCTCCCTCAACCACGCCGTCACCAGAAACCACCCAACCGCAAACACAACCCCAACCGAATACCCGCACGCCACCTGCGTCGGCGTATGGTAGCTCAAATACACCCGGCTCCCACTCACCGCCGCAGACCCCGCAACACACAAAATCGACAGAAGCACCTTCTGGTACCGCGGGAGATGGTGGCTCGCGCGGAGATGCAGCCACAGACTGAGGTACAAGGCGAAGAAGGCGACGAACTGGGCGTGCGAGGAGGGCATGCCGTAGCCTTTGCCGTACATCTCTAGAACACCACACACAGGTCAGAATATATATCCCCGAACGGGCAGACAGACAGAAAGGAATAGGGGAGCTACGCTTAGGGCGCTGCTGTTTAAAGCACCGCTTCAACACCCAGTTCAACGCCTCGCACGCCAGCTGCCCCGAAAGCATAAGCAGCACCTCCAGCTCCCGCTGCGCGACAGACAGCGTCGCGTACGAGACCATGAGTGCCTGGGGCACGAGCGCGAGCCATGCGCACAGGAGGGATGCTGGATCATCTGGATTCTAGCACATCCACGGCATTGTTAGCTAGCTATTTTTCTAGTATACAATAACAAAGGGAGACATACGTAGTATACATGTGTAAGGCTCAATGAAGCGAGCGGAGGTTCGAAATTGCTGTCCTCCATGGTGTGCTTCTTGGGGAGTATCGAACTGTAGATGCTGCGGGATTCGTGGTTTCTCTGGCAGGCCCGGGGTGTGCAGCTGCTTATATGCGCGCCTTGGCAGGATGATTGTCATGGATTCCACGTGGTAGGATTGGAACATGGGGTTGTCCTGCGCTACGACGGGCTGGGACAAGACAATTAATTGGGACAATGGGAGCGAGTTGCGATTGTGCGAGCGATAAAGAAATCGTTCGTGATCAGGTGGATTGTGGAGAAGAAGCTCTATTACTTCAGTATAATTACAGTCGATAATAGAGACTGGGAGATTTGGGCTCAAGCTAACTACAATTAAACCAGTAAAGTTGCCTTAATACAGCTGAACTCAACTAAAACCCTCGTAAGGACATCAAACACCAAATATCACGGACTTCTAAAAACTCATGAAACCTTCATTCAAACAGCACACATCACAATTGCGCCACATTTTCATAATAATGTACAGAGAGTAACTAGCTCACGCCTTACTGGAAGCTAAAAGATAAAAAGAAACGAAAAAAAAAAAGAAGAATAGCAAATAAAGAAGAAAAAAGAAGAAACCTAATACGCGTGAATCCGTGAAAAATTACTTTTTTCTTCCCTCAACCTTCACTAGGTACTACTTGTTGTAATCCAAACAAATCATTGCAGACATAAAAACCAGGTCAAGCACTATTAAGAAAACTAACTGCCAAGGAGGAGGACTGGCTACGAGTCGCTGACCCTGACTAGATCTGAACCTGTTCCACCTCGGTAGTTAAGCCTTCTAGCTTTTTCCTGGTAGATTTTACAAGTACATCTCTGCAAATCGCAACTTGTTAGCCACGACCACTACTACTGGCAAAGCAAGGGAAAAATGGAATACATACTCTCTATCTAGCAGTTCCCTCAGGACTCTCAACTTCTCCTCCCTGATACTCTCCGGCACATCGTCCTTACGGCCCACCAGCCCACTTCCCTTCCCGCCCTCTACCAGCGGCTTCAGCTCCCCCATCATCCCCGCCACCATCTCCTTACGCGCCGCGAGTGCAACCCTCCCCTCCCCAACAACCCTCCCCTCAATCTTCCCCACCTCCTTAAACCACTTCTTCTCCGCATCGCTCAGCCCAGTCTCGCTCTTGACAATGAGCAACTTCAGCACCTCATCCGCACGAGCCTGCAGCTCCTCCTGCCTCTTGAGATACCGCTCGAGTCGCTCGCGCACATCCTTACTCTGGATCTTAGCCAGCTGCTCATCGGCCCGGTGGATCGTCTCGATCTGCTTCCGGTACTCAATGCGCTGCAGCGCCGCACGGTCATACATCTCCTGCGCTGCCTCCATGATGCCGTCATACTCGAGCTTCAGTGTGTCCCTTGCTTTCCTCAAGAACTCGTTGCTCTCCGTCGAGAACATGACGGGGCTGCGGACCAGGCGCGGGTTCTGCTCCAGTGCTTGCTGGAGCAGCTGCGCCAGCTGGCTGCGTTGTCGGAACTGTACGGAGGGGTTATACGGCGGGAGCAGGATGTTCATCTTGCGCTGGGTGCTGGAGCTAAGTGCGTTGCTGCGCTGCGAGGTGGACGTGGACATGCGGAGCTGATCGGCTTTGGCGATGGTTTCGGAGGAGCGGGAGCCGGTGGCGAGGACTTCATCGAATTCGGCGGCGGCAACGCCCTTGAGTGTCGCTGCGACAAAGATGTAGCCTAGGTAAGCTTCGTAGATGACGACGCTGCCGGCGACGGGGTTGGGATGGAGGCTTTTGCCGCGGTTGTCGAGGACGACGCTGACGGTGCTCTGCGGGCTTTTTTCCAGCGTGAATGTCATAAAGTCGGGGTCCTCCTCATGATCGAGGACGGCAGAGAGTTTGCTGAGCCAGCCCTTCATGCTGAAAGAGACGACGCCGGAGTTATGATTGACGAACCAGACTTGCTCGCTGCGTGGGTCCGGGACGAATACGGGCCAGTTTGTGGTTGCATTATCTCTGCCAGCGTGGAGACCGAGATCGATACTCTCGAAGGCGGCGATGACCGGGAGGTCGGTGAGTTGTTCTTGGTGCCGCTTCTTCTTGTCGACCCATTTGGCGCGGAGGAGCTCAAATTCGAGACAGATATCGACCTTGCCGTTGGAATAGAGAATGCCAATGACGCCAAGGGAGCCAGCTTCCATGTGAAAGATGTCGCAGGCGTAGTGGTCGCCTGGGAATTCTACCGGCGGAGGTTGAAAGAGGAAGGGGCCTTGAAGGTGCGGTAGTATGTCCTCCTTTGAGCGCGCATCCAACCCTGGGCGTGTGAGGTATGTCTGATTCTTCTTCCACGGCGTGCTCTGTGATGCCCCAAAAGAGTTCTCAAGATTTGTTTCTTGGGTCAATACGTCGTTGATCCATTTGGTCTGCTGTCTCAATATGAGCTTTTCCTGCAGACTTGCGTCCTGGTCGACGGATTCCAGGTCTGCGGTGATGCTAAGGGATAATTTCTGGAGGTATTCCCGACTTGCCATCCAGCGTGACGGGACGAGCGGAGTAAGGGCGTAGATATCACCACCGCGCATAAGAATATATAGTGTGAACTGGCGCCAGCCTTCTGCACCTTCGCCGAAGCAGCAGGACGCAGGCTCCATCTCGGACTCGTCGGCGTAGAAACCGGTAGTGTAGCGAGCCCGCCCAGAGAGCAAATATAGGTCAATTTCTTGGTCGGCGATGTTGAAGGTGATATCGCGGCCGACCTTGAAGTCGTAGGATCTGTAGATACCTCATTAGCACCTTCAACCTAGGCTCGGGGGAGAAGAAAACTGACCTGATCATGCCATCTTTTGACAGTACTACCAGCGAAGCGTCGTCGACCCCCAGCGGATGCCATAGCGCGCGTACGATCGGGAAGGTTACTTTATTGTAGACGTTCTCGCCAACCTTATGGAACCTGCCTCTTAGTCAGTAAGTAGCCCAGAGCCTAGAACAGTGTGCAAACTTACGCAGGCACCCTCAACTTTGGGTTCTCCATCTTCGACAATCCTTCCGCGGGGAGCACACAAACCGCGAGCTCATTCTCACCGACAATCGCGAGGAACACACCATCTTTGCTGATCTCAAGCTGGCAGATGTCGAAATCCAGCTCTGGTAGATCCAACCTCTAGACCACCGACCTATTAGCCCTCCCATCCACTGCCAAAAACCAACAGCACTTCCCCCGCGAAGAATAAGAAAAACTGCGCACCTTGTACTCTCTGTACCCCTCCACACTCTGTTGCGCTGGCTGCCTGGCCTTCAGATCCTGCAAGTCTGCCACCCGCACCTCGTTACCCCGCGCCACAAAGATCTCGGTGCCTCTGCTCGCGATGGCCCTGCGTGGGCCTACTGTGGGGGCGTCGTCATTTGCTTCGCTGACAAGTGGGTATGACGTGGGCTTCTCTGGCGGCTTTGAGAAGAGGTCCCAGCCGGTGGAGGGTTTCGCGAGGAAGGGCAGGCTGGTGGACGTGATTGTTAATGTCATCGGATGGTCTGTCAGTGTGTACGGTGTGTGTCTGTCTGTCTATCGGTCTGCTATTTGAGTGTTCTCGACGCGTTGTGGGAGGGGTGGGTTGTGGTGGAGGCCTTGGGCGGTGGTGGGTTGACGCGCTGTTGGGGCGCTAGGAGGGGAGCGAGAGGTGTGACAAGAGATGATTGATGGTTGCAGTTGTCGCTAGCCTGAGACACGCAGCAGCGGAATGTTTGGTGGCCGCTGATAGGCCGGCCCTGCGCTGCAAACAGAATCTACGGACGAGAATATTATATGGGTTCTAGCTATTATATTAGGGTCACTTTCTTTTACTACACTGACTGGTTCACAGATCTCTTACAAAAGACAGTGGGACATTAATCGCTGAATTATTCTTTATGCTATTAACCTGCAAACGCCAGTAATGCTTTTGATAGTAACTAATATCATGTAATGTACCCAATGCTTGACTCCGAATTTCTATCCCAATTATGTATTTCATGCTTCGTGATAACCCAGAACCCCGCAGCTCGTTAATCTTTACTAATGTTTTATGGCCCGTTTAGATTCGGCCTCTCGATAGCTGATTTTCTTCTCTTAGCTGCAAGCCTGCGCTACCTGCAACAGTGGTCTTTGGTTCCTGAGCGCAACTCATTCCGCCTTGGGTGCCATAACAGCCCAAACACCCCAACGGCTCTCTAGTCTTCAGCCGTCTCCATTGTTTCATCATCCTCAGTTTTCACTTTCACTGCCTTCTCATCCACAGGCTCCTCTTTATTAGGCGCCTCTTTCTCTTTCTCCTTCCCACCATCCTCCTTCTCCTCCTTCTCATCCTCCTTCTCCTCACCATCCTCCTTCTCCTCACCATCCTCCTTCTCCTCACCATCTTCTTCCTCCCCTTCACTCTCAATCTCGCTCCCCAGCGCACTATCCCTCGGCTCCAACTCATCCGCATCCTCCAGCATCGCCCTCGTCTTAATATGCGGCAGCGCAATATCACACACCCGCTCCTTCGTCAACAGATCATCAATAAACTCATCCATATGCGTCAGCCTCCACCCGCCCATCCCCCTCACCCTCAGCTTCCGATAATCCGTCATCAGCGGCTCCAGCGTCTTGAAGATATCCACGGCGTTCCACGTCAACCGGATATAGAACGCCGCGAGCGCGCGCAAGTACTTGAACTCGTCGTCGTGCAGATACGCCAGCACGATCTCGCGCTCCGGGTGCAGCTGCAGCAGCTTGAACGCGAGGCAGAGGAACGGCGTGGGCTTCTGGTTTGAGTATTGGCCGCCGATGTATGTGAGTTCTACGGCGCGGTCGAGGAGCGTTGCGGCTGTGGGGTGTTAGTTTGGGGTGTTAGTTTGGGGTGCGGGAGTGCGAGCGCGCATAGGGAGGGGGAATTACCGTTGAGACCGAAGGCTTGCTCTTTCCAGTAGAGGCTCTCGAAGATGCGTTCGCGGATGATCTTCTCGACGAGGAGGAGGGGGTTGACGCCGTGGACGGTGGCGCCGGTGTATAGTCCTCGACTATCCAGCATGGACTTTGCGTCTGCTTGGTGCGCCATTGTGAATTTATTTGCGGTCGGAGCTATGGAATTACTGGATTACTGGTATAATCGCGGATTGTAGAATCGCGGGTTTGCGAGGCTCTTGAGACCTGGCTGGGGAGCTTGTTTTAGGGCGTGCCGGGTAACTAGCGTGGGTCAATGATTGCGCGGTAGGTTCTGGGTGCTGATGTTAGTATCCTTGAAATTGAGTGGGTTCATGATTATATTGAGTAATCGACACTCAAAAAAGGCTTTTCTGGGTATCTAAGGGACCTCCCGGGTCATCAGGAAGTTTATCAAATACCCGGAGCATATATATTAGAAGCAGCTAGTAAGAGGAGTTCCAGCAAGGATATATTAGACACGTACACTCAAAAGGAAATAGTTCGGTGCCCGGTTTTTCATCATCCCAAGCACTTCGAATCCGGAAAGAATGATTTTAATTGGGGCTGGGTTATATTATAAACGACCGAACGAGGTCTATATGGTCCGTTTCATATTAATATCCTAAGAAATATAAAAAAAAAACGGATACCGGGCTTACAGTAATACCCAGCCCTCGAGCTAATTTGGAGAATTACATTGCGGCAAAAGACCTTACTGGAAAACCGAAGTTCTAAACAACACTCATGGATATCTACCACCGTTACTGCTTCGTATGGCTAGAAGCTCCCCATATAGCTACAACTATGGTCAAGCTCACTAGAGTACACAGAAAGACTACTTTAGTATTTCCTTAACTTGAATTTAGATCGAGTCAAAAGCTGAGAGTCTCACGAATACACATCTACAGCGGTCTATTACTATAAAGATAAAAGGGCTTCTAGCTATCAACTACATACATATCAGCTTCTAAACATAGTGTTTCCTGGCACCGACAATATCTATTTTGTGGAAACTGTGCATCATATCTCAACAACACAGTCGTCTTTGTTTTATAAAAATACAGAGATCGGAGAAACATAGTCTAAGGGCCTAGGGCCCGTTTGGTTACACATTGGCGGGCAAATTTGCGTTGCAACAGATATTTTTTGCATAACTCTGTTTTCACGAAATCCTTTGTGTTCGGGGTGCGAAAACCCCACCAAATTCACAATCCGAACTCCATTTTGAAAAGATATCTGTTTATACTTAAGCTTGCGTAACGGAGCCGTTGCCAGACGGAGTTTTGAAACGCCAAAAAAAAAAAAAAAACCAAACGGGCCGTAAGTTACTAGCGATATCTCTGTGAGGAAGGGCTTCGCAACTACATCCCATAGCTGAAGAAAAAATTAAAACAAAAAACAGGCTCCGGGGGGAATCAAACCCCATCTCCATGGCAAACGTCCTACTGATACCCAGGCAGGCGCATTATTAACTATGCTACCGAAGCTACTGTTGATACAGTGGGTGCTGGAGTGGATTGTAAAGATCTCTTTCCCGCCGTTAATTGCAGATAAGAGAGATGACGAGAACTGTGAGCAAAGATCACTCACCCTCTTCATAATCACGTACAACATCTTGATCATTTATCAATGACTTTAGATAAAGGGGGAAAGGTTTTAATTGGTGACTTGTGGCATTAAATAGCTTTTTACAGGATCCCTCCAACCTATTCAGTCTCATCAATACTTATGGGAGAGGTTATCTCCCCAATAGATGGTTGCACTTGCTACTGGAAAAACGGTAGCCTTCCGACCCCCTACCACTACAATACAGTAGTGGGGTTATCGACCGTGCATTATGAGCTAATCCATACCACTTATCCCTTTGGATGCCATTAGGCTACCGGCTTCTAAGATATCATATGTTGCCTGAAAGAAACAGTGCTTAATAATGGCTTGGATTTCGTGCCTGGTCCCATGGAAAGCTTCTTCACAGACCATCACTCGTTTCACAAACCCTAACCCACCCAGCTAAATATACCAGATGTATCACTGATCAAGACAGATTGTACTTCAAGTAGAGGAGCGATTCTATCTCAAACCGCTTATAGTGCCAAGATTCTTGCCACCCCTAAGAACGGACGTGGCCTATAGATAAAACGCAACACCAACACTCGAGCTTGTTGTGTAGGTTTGGAGTATAAACACATCAATCCGGCCCTATACATATATTGTACGTCATACCCGGGCCTCTGCTCATTGATTATGGATTATCAGTTCTCCAGAATACCAAAGAACACTAGAAGAGGGAATAGAGGTAACTATCGGTCAAGTTCAGGATCGTATTCTTCAGGCGCCGGCTATTCTGTAGCTACCGGTACCCATTTGGAGAAAACTAGTTCGAGAACCGTCCTACTCGAGAAGGAAGACGATGACGATGACGATGACGATAAATACCCCAATGATCAACGGGATGGGGCTTGGGGGGGTTCTTCACGACATGTCACGATTCGAGAAGAGGGAGACTCAGAGAAAAGTCCTCAGGACTTGGAGAGTGTTAAGGTGATTTCGCCAAGTGAGGAATGCGTACATCATGTGGACGATACTGGAAGAAGTGAGAGTGCGAGTCTTATGCCTTCCGAATTCCCCGAGTATTCAATTGAATGACGGACTTACTGAGTTTTATAGCTGCAAGTGTTTACGCGCGCTCCCCTTCTGTTGGTATTGAGAGTTAGTATTTTAACCATCCAGCACAATTAGAGGAGTATTTTACTAATGATGGTCTAACAGCGTCGAGTATTTACTCACTGGATCTTCCGACCATCATGTCCGACCAAAATGAGTTCGCGCTCTACCCTAGATTTGGAAAGCTCAACTGTCTAAACCTCCTTCACCTGCAACAGCATCTCTTTGATCTCGAACAACAGCTCGAGGATCTGAACCTAGAGGAACTCAAGAGTATGGAAGAGGAAGACCTTATTGATAACGTGAGGGATGCCTTGGAGGAAACCGAAACGTCCGGTATAAGGCGCCGACAACAATCAAGGGTATCGAGAGCATCCTATAGCTCCAACCTCTCGGTTAGAAGTGCTCGATATGGGGGGTCCAGCTCTCAAGAGAAAGCCGATAGAGAACATGAAGGTTGTAAGTCGCAAGGCCATATTCTTCGGATACCTCGCTCTCAAGAGGGGCAGACAAAGGACCTGCCAATAAGTTTGAGGAGGTGCAAGTTGATGGGAGAAGTGGAGATGACATTAGGAGCTTATAGTGCGTATCTTTCGTTTGATGAATACAAGTATAATCTACGTATCGTCCTTTACTGAATGTTCTCGCTTTGAGACCAGACCGAGCCCTTTTGAGTTATTCCCAATTACTTAACCTTCCTAGCGCATCTACGCGGGATAGACGGGCGCTTAAGGACTGGCTTCAGCGTGCCGATGACCCTCTTGCCAGAAATTCGGATTCGCTTCGATTCCTAGATGAGGATTCTGCTGATGTGATAGCACTTTGTGCTCGCGATTCAGATATTTTGGAAAACTTTTTCCAATCTCGTCTACTCCGTATACTCGAAAACTGGTCGGTCTGGACTTTCGTATTCCCGTCCATTCGGGGGGCAGTGGCTACAATCAGGCCAACAATCCAATCACGTGCAACCCTCGAGTTCCTGAGGTTTTTTATCTCCTTGGGTGGAGCAGTGCTGATTGTTGCGCCGGTTGTTGTTCTTTATTTTACAAGGTCGGAATGGGGTAGATTGATGATTATTTGTGTGTGTACCATTGTATTTGCCATTCTGATGCACATGTTTACAGCTTCAGACAAGAAGGAGGTGCTTATGGCAACTACTGGGTATACAGCTGTGCTGGTGGTGTTTGTTGGGTCTGATGCATTTTCGGACGCAACGGTTCCAATGCCTGGCTGAAGGTTGTATGTGTTTGTGTTGAAGGTTTTGAGCTAAGCTGGATGTGTGCACTTGGGTGGTGCACGTTGCAGGCTGTTTTCTGTAGTTCTCTAGAGTCTCATCCAGATCGATCACGAATACGAATCGATATGAACCAAGAGACAAGTGATTGTATTATGAGGGGATGATGGTCTAGTCTAAGTGTTCTGTGATCGACTAATTCTAGTTCGCTTCTAGCTACGTTTCCTTCTTGTCTTCTGATTACGTTGCTTCTGCGGCTTAGCCACAAACCTGTGCCACAACGTAGGCCCGCAGGGCTTAAAGAACAGAGCTTTACTTGCTGAGAAATAAAGTTCGATAGGGAGCGCATGCAACCAACCTGTCGGTGTAGAAATCAAGGCATGCTCACGTCTTAAATATTAGAGGTCCCCGAGGCAGTACTTACGATCCAAAGCCGTAACGTATCACAAAGAGCAACGTCATGCAAGATTAGTTTAATGAGAAAATTCAACTTTCGAGACGGAGCCAGCTGAAGCTAAACCATAGAAATCGTACTGAAGAATGTACATGTATCTGTGGGAAGCTGTCAATTCGTTCGCCGATCCAATCCCAAGAAGGTAAATACATATGCCATGCACGAACCATTTCCTAATGTAGGGATAGTCGCTCTTAAGCTTTCTTTCAGCCTCACAACCCAAAACCAACCCCACATTACAGGGCCCTACCCGTCACCCCCGAAGCCCACAGCTATATAAAAAGGGAAGGATAGCTACAGAGCTCGGATGTCAGCACCGTTTACAAATCTATACCATCTACGGAAGGTAGCAGAGGTAAGGGAAGCTCAGATTCTAGTAGAGGAAATAGGTTTTGATAAACCGGCTTCATTCTAGAGCGCTGCGAAGCCATGTATGGTGTGCTATAAGCCTACGACGAGCGTCCTTGTGACGCCGGATAAGAAGGTTTGTTGGTGAATTGATAGCCCTGACAAGGACTTTATTAATGGGATTGGCAGGACTTCTTCTATGTCTGCCCTAGCCACACGAAGGATCGCGGATTTGCGTCTGCAGTTGTGGACCCAGAGCCCACGCCCGAGGAGCTGGATAGGAAGCGCAAGGAAGCTGAGGAGAGGATGCTAGCCGAAGAGATTGAGAGGGTGAAGAAGGAGTACGAGGAGAATCAAAGGAAGAAGAAAGAGAAGGATGAAGGCGAGAAAGAGAAAGAGAAAGAGAAGGACGAGGAGAAGGATAAGAAAGAAAATGAGGAGAAGGAGAAGGGGAAAGGTAAAAAAGAAACCTCGCCCCCCGTCGAACCTAAAAAGGCTGAGGAGCCTAGGATATTCACATTGCACAAGTGAGAACTCCCGCCTCTTCCATAAAATCAAAGCTTGGAGAGCTTGCTAACTCCCGTCTTCTGTAGGACCATATTTGATTCTAGGATGCGACGATGGAAGCAGCAGCAGATTTCGAAGCTGAATCAGGAGAGGCTTAGGTCTAGTGCGTTTCCATCGGTTCCTAAGGGTGACCCGGTATAGATAAATTATATCATATCATGGAGGGTTTATGTGTGCTTTGTTCCTGTTCTTAGATGCATGCATCCATTAGACATGGCGAGTTGTGGTTGACGATTGTTTCGATGGTGGATTGACTTATGTGAGAGCGATACAATACCTAGCATACATGTACTTATGGCCAATATAATTCAGAAAGTTCTCCCGGCGAGGAAGGTACTTGCAGGTAAATACAAACAGGGCGGAAGAAAGACGCTATATGTGGTTTATACAACGAGTGATCACCAATGACCTAGAATAAGGGTCGTATCTAAACGGACAAGGACTTATTGATATATACTTTCAAGCTTCCAGTTGAATGGAGCTTGATAATAATATTTGCCAAAAATAAACTAACTAATGATCCTACTGGGATAGCTCTAGGAATTTCTCCCCAGACGGAATCCAAACCGATCAAGCAGGATATCCAGAAACAGAACAAGTCCATTAAATGTCAGATCCCATGCACTCCCATCCCGCGCAACCAAGAGAAAAAAATGCATTCCCAATCCCGTACCACCCATGCCGAAAACCTGTTGAAAGAACACCGATTATATATCAAAATATCTGCATCTGTATTAACACAGCCCCCAACTTCATCTTACCCCCTATCAACCTTCCAATAGCTTCTTTTGTACCATTTCGGTGGTACCCACCCCACAGAAAACCTCTTTCCAGTAGATCCCCATCTCGAACACTTTCAGCTTCGCACCGATACGGAAGTACTCCCATAGGGCCGAAACCCACCGGATGATGTTCTCCACTCTCAGCAAACCGCCGTGCTTCTCAATTTCCTCGCGGGCTTCTTCATAAACAGCTCTCGAGCAATATCTCGCAAGGATCATGAACGTTCTTTCTGGACCGCGACCAGTTTGGAGCCCCTCATCAAGCGAACGGGTAAGATCATTTGTTTTCAGGATGAGCAGAATAACCGACGGGACATTGGCGAGTAGTTGGATTAGTTGTTCCAAAAGACCCTCAGTCATAGCTAAATCGTAAGTGTCAATGACCATTTCCCCATAAATCGACTTAAAGGGGAAAAAAACCTTGAGTAATCTGTTTCTTCTCTTCCTCATTTCGTGGAAGTGCAACTCCTTTTTGCAAAGCGGTAAAATCCCTCCCTGTGATAGCACTAGCAAATAACGGGAACTGTTCGTCTGTGATACCCGCAACTTCGTTCGCATACCTCCTCATATTCTTTTCATTTCCGTCAATCACAGCCAACCAGAGCTTTGCGTAAGATCTTCTCAGATCCATTGGTATTTCCCTATATAAGCCGTGATCATATAATATTATCTCAAACTTGCTCTTCCGCCATCCTCTCTTTGAAGGATCTGTAAGCCGGATTGCAAGGTTTCCCCCGTGTGGATCACAGTGCAGTGGTGCATTATTTCCAAATACCATTTCGTTGAAGATTCTGGCCAACGCAGCAGAAACCTCATCCCGAGAGATACCATTGCTGTCTAGCCATTGTAGATCATCGAGGCGTTTTCCAGGAAGATATTCCATTACCAATATTCTTGGCTTTGCCCAAATCACTTTCTTCCAAGTTAGTATGTTTGATAATACCCCCGAATATCTTTACATCGCGAGATTAACCAACCTTTAGGAATAACCACGGGTGTATTTTTGACGTTCTTGAAATATTCTGTTACCCGGTGAATATTGCTGGCCTCTCTTTCAAAATCGAGTTCTTGAGGCAGACTGTAAAGATATATTTACTCGTAAGCATCCCTCCCCAAAAAAGGACCGCATCTGAAAAGGTATACCCACGATGCCTCCATCTCATCGCTGAGCCAGGTCAACGGATATTCCGGGAAGAACCACTTGATGTATTCGAATGAGAATCTCGTCAATTGCATATCGAGAGGGATCCATTCCGCCAATGATGGATGTTGTAGTTTTACCGCAACCCTAAAGTCCATTAGCATCAAAACCTACGTCCCATAAATGAAAAGCGCATGAAAACACACTCTTGGCCTGTCTCTCTCAATATCGCCCGGTGCACCTGAGCCAAAGATGCTGTCACAGAACTCAGTTTTTATAGCTCGAAAAAGTAATGACTGGGTTTTCCGTACCGGCTCCTAGGGGGACTGGGTCAAAGGTTGAGAAGAGTTCTGGTATTGAGTGACCGGTGTCTTCCAGAATCATCTAACCATCCAAATCAGCACAAACTATCATTTCCAAGGCCTTAGTCATCCGCAATTTCTTACTTTTTCAATACTTTCCATACTAGAAACTGGGCAACGATCTTGTAGAGGAATAAAGGTTTCCTGACCAGTCATTAGAAAATAGCTTTCCGGTTTCTGAACAAAACAGTCTTACAGTCCACTCCACCGGTAGAAGATATCCCATGGCAGCCAGATGCTGTCCGAGCTTGATGAATATCGAGCCATTCTTCTCGAGTACCTTGTAGGTTCTATACCAATTGAGTTAATTCCATATCACGAGAGGTATTTCCGGTGAAATTTTGGAACCGCCGGAAAAGTGAAACATTGACCCCACCTTTCGGCACACCGTTTATGGCATTTCGAGAGCACTGTTTCATTATCCGGGTCACTATCAAGGATCCTCAAAGCAACTCGATAACTACCAATCAATTAGCTCAAATCCCGCGGGAAAATCAACAGGAAGAAATCATACTCATTTATGCACAGCGCCAACGCACTGGCGACCCGACCCGCCCTTTCCACAGCAGCAACCGCATGCCCCACATCTGTCACGAGCCCGAAGACCGCCGCCCCTACTATCGTACCTCCGAGGACGCCCAATACTATTTTGCCACTTCGACGAGGGGTAGCTTTTGTTCCCGTCCTAATAGCTTGGAAGGTTGAAGGTTTCCGTAGAGATGAGAGACATCGTCGGCATGTCCATGAGGTAGAGTTGAAGGCAGGGAATATCGTATTCTGATTCCGGAGGAGGAGACCACGGGATGGGATTAAGGCACGCATGACCGGAAAGCAATTGTCGAAAGATGAGAGAGGACGGAAGCTATCATACAGGCGATAGATGGACCTAATTATATTGATAGCAGGCGGGGAAGAGGGAAAGCCCAGTCTGGACGACGTGGTCTTGAGTTATCGGCGGGTGAGACTCGGAGAGTGTTGAGAGCAGGGTTAGGGTCACGAGCCAATTTTTTGCTGGCAGTTCATGAGCTGCAAGAGTCGTCGTAGGGATTAGTACGGTTGAAGTTAGGCAGAGCCTCAACAACCACGTCGAGTTCCTGCGTTTCCCTGCACTGCTTGACCACATGGATATGACAAACGGAATTTGAAGCTGGGCTTGCTGCTGCAGTAAAATTAGAAACAACTACAGAGCTCGTTGTTTCCTTGCATTCCTCGAAAAAACGGTTCAGGTCATGGCTGCTTAAAAAACAAAACTGCACTCGAGGTTTTGGATTACAATTTGCGACCTTCTGGTGACAAGTCGGATTCCGAAGCGAAGGTCTCAGCAGCTCGGCTTTCATAACCTGGCTGGACCATTATTACCACCGCAAAACTAGTACGTTTTTAGCCCGGTGCCGTGGGAAACTGAGAAATGGTCATTTACATACACACACGGTTGTGAATAGACCTGGCTGTGAATAACACCCGTGGCTTTGTGTGGCAGAATGTCTATTGGGGAATTAGCAAGTCGATCCGCTATCCATTTGTAACCTTAAGCCTACGAAAGCTACATGTATTTAGAAAAGGATTTACCCTTCATTTATAGTTGTCCCTACTAGTGAAAGCTGACTACCCCTTTTGTAGAGAGTGTGCTGAGAGTACGTTCGCTTGTTTGACTCACACTTAATCTAGTAGCTTCAGGCATTCTTTCCTTCCTTCATGATGGTTCACTATATCCATTACAAGCACCAACTGCATCCCTTAAAGCAAACTCTGGGACGTACTCTAGGGGAATGGGTATTTGCTTTTTTCAGCAGGCTTCTGGCCAACCAGTACCCGTCCTTTGCGAAATAATTCATCCCAATCTTGAGATATCTCAGTTCCCATCATTTTATTGGCGTTTAACGACCCCCGCTTCTGAAGTGCATATATGGTCTTCGTGGGCCTAGATCGCCTAAGGCGGGGTTATTCGAGAGGAGAGAGCATCCGCGCGCGTAAAAAGTATAGGGCCGTAGACGTGCCTTATCACCTTGAGAAATATACGTACATGTATGTATGTCTGAAATTGATCATATATGAATTCGCCTAAACAAGCCTGGTGGTGCATTTCTGTAGCCAAGGGAGTAGACGCCTGTTGCTTTCGATTGATGGGACTTTACATGGAAAGCAAAACTGACTGAAATAGTGGTGAACCTTCGGCGTTCCAGTATTTTGTCATCCACAGCATACACCCTTAGACGTATTTTTTCAATGATTTAGAATTTGAATTCTACAATACATCTGTATTGAACGCCAAGCCAAACGAGTGATCGGATATGTACCTATAAAGCATCGATGGTAACTGGGGGGGACTGCAGGTCTCTTGCTGATAGAAATAAGAAACAAAACCAGAATTAAGGTAAGATAACAGGAAGAGAAGACGGCATATATAATGTGTTGAAGCCGAGATGAAAGTAGGGCTTACGGATGACATCCAGATGTTTGATATTTTTGATAACCCCGCTAGTAGTACATCGACTGTACCTCCTTATACTCAGCAGAGAGCAAAGCAAGAAATTATGTCTGCTGCCCATTTTTAAAACCCCTGCAGCTTCTATATCCCCTCTAAACCCGCGAAGGGACCCCATGACCCCGTTCACAAAAGATATAAACACCGGACCCATATTTTTATATATATACAGACCTCTACGCCACAGCCACTGGCTGCTCTTCGGCCTCAGCATCAGCAACTGGTGCCTCCGGCTCCTCTTCAAAGTCAGACACAGTAAAGGTACTCCTGCCCCGTCTCTTGATGATATCAGCCGTAGCCACCTCTTTCCACATCTCAAGAGCCTTCTGCTCCATCTCGATACCGATCTCGAGGTACGGCTTCCCGAACTGAGCGCCCACAGCCAAGGCCTCTTCCGCCGCAACACGGCGCTCAATGTCCTGCTTCATACGCAGGTCGTAGAATTCCCTACGGGCACGGTCGTAGGCATCGGTCTCCCCAAGCTCCTCGTTCTCCATCAACCACATCTGTCGCTGGACAACACTAGACGCAACCATCAGCACCAGCAAACCACTGACAGATAGCATGCTAGGAAACCAACCTTTCACCATCCAGCTGCTTGCCCGGCTGCTCAATCTTGCTCCAGTCATAATGCTTATGATCGTTTCCGTCGTTCTCCACCAAGATCCTCGGCCTAGCCAGCTCCCACGGGTGGTCCTTGAAGAATTGCGCTCGCAGCTTGTCCTCGGGATACTCAATCTTCTGGGGCATGAACATTCCTTTCGGCTTGTGTCTCTTTGTCCATGGCTTGTGGTCCTTCTGTTGCACCGGGAGCGGGCGGACAAGTGACGTTGTGGGCGGTATCGAGCCGACAATCCGATACCACGCCGGCTCCTCCCGCAACCGTCCAGTCTCGAGGCGGCGAGAGGCGGTCAGGTGTACCCGTATGGGGCGCAGTCGTTTGATTGTGTTCATTGGGGCGTTCCGGTGTGAGCGGAGGGTGTTTCGGGGATCTCTGGGTGGACAATTCCGGGGTAGTCGCCGGGGGGTCGAGTTTGGTTGTTTGGTGGGCTTGGGGAAAACTTTGGTGGGTTACCGTGGGGTGGTGATGGCATGTGCGTCAGTAGCGTATATGTGGGAATGGGTGGTTCTGGGGACAACTCCGGGGGTGTCGCGTTGTAAATTCTCACCGCCGGTAGTTACTATTCACAGATTCGGGTTTTCTATTATATTCGTAGATTTCATTTGAGTAAAGTGGAAAACCGGAACACCGTAAAGAATTATAACTATGGTACAACTGCTAAAGAAAGCGACACATTCAAGAATACTCCCTTATCAAATCCGTATCCAGCCCCATGGAAGGAAGATAACCTCCATGCCTATTCTTACTTTGCTGCAGTAGCCTCCACGACGTCCTGTTTATCGTCAAACTGCTTCCTGGCATCGGCGATAACTTTCGCCATGACCAGAAGCTCCTCAACACGGCCCAACTTCTTCGGATCGCGTCGTAGAGCAAACTTGAAGTCGTCGACCTTGATCTTATTTCGTCGAGCCTGTGAGGCCATGCGCGCTGCGTCGTGACACTGCGTAGAAGAGCTGGTTAGTTTAAGCTGCTGCGGAAGTTCGAGCACTGTAGGTAAATACCATATCGACAATGTAGCTGCGAGCGCGAATGGTTAGCTATGCTATCTAGGCTGAGCTCAGGGGGAAGGTTCGTATAAATAACACACTCAGTGACAATCTCATCAAGGACATTAACACTCTCTTGGAGTGGCTCTTGGTCATCGCCGAAAGCGTACATCAGCGACCTAACTACATCACCCCCAAGGTGACTGTCAGTACAATATCACAGCGAAGTAGTATTCCGAGGGCAGTAGACGAACTCTCTTTAGCGAAAAGGTGCTGGCGTCTACTGCGCGGGCGCGAGCGGGAGATTCCAGCATCCGTGGCCATGGTTTTTGAAGATTGATGTTTAGGATGAGCCCTCTTCTGCGTCGACTGTTCAGGACGCTCCATGGTTCAATGGAATCTGGGTTAGGTGGCGGTATCTGTGGCGGTGATGCTACAGTGTGGCGTCGGTATGTTCCTAGCTTCAAAGCTCTGACGTTGGTTGAAACCACGATTCAATTTACCACCAGTGCCCCACGACTCCCGCTCTCACATTCAACCCTCCAAGTCTACTTACATACGAGCCCCACAATGGTGAGTTATCCCAGAATTCCTCTGCAATAGCTCCAGCTAACTAACCGCCCTTATCTACGTAGTCTGCTCTCTTCCACTTTGACGCGCTCCTTCTAGTTATCCTGCTCCTTGTGTGCACATGCACCTATGTGCGCGCCACTGTGCCGGGCATGGTAGACTCACGGAAGGATAAGAACATGTAGGACCCTCCCGTTTCCCCACACACCCCTGCTGGCTAATATACGGTAGGCTGATGAGCGATTGGTAGCTTCTTTGGCATGTTTTGGAAGTTTGCCCGTATCGGAGAGCGATTGTCGCCATATGTTAGCTTGTGCTGCATTATTATGGCTGTAAGTTCTTACCAGGAGCTTTGCACTTGGAGTCGGCTCTCGTTATAAGAACTGGTCAGCGGCGGAAAGCCGGTATCCTGCAAGATAGAAACCCTCATAAAGTTTAAATACTCTTATGGGGCGTCTTTATAGCGAGAGTCGACTTCCGGGAGTGAGTTAGTTCGGAACACATGCTAACATGTTAGCGATATAGGTTGTGACATTTGTTTCATAAAACGGATAGATACACAGGTCAAGACGGAGGAGGATGGGGACGAATTTTTGTTTGTATTACTGCTCTGTGTTGGATTGTTTTTATCGGGCGTCCAAATGCATTTTTTCTTTCTTTCTTTCTAATTATTATTGTCCTTTCCCGCGCGCATAGATTATTGATACCACATACATTTCAACAAAAGTGGTTGAGTTTAGGCGCATGAGTGCAGGTCCTGCCGGCGCCATGAGCGGTCCATGATCTCTATTGAATAAAGCCTTGGTGTAAGCTCTGCACACACGTGGGCCGTGGAGCTTCGTCATTGATAGACTGCATCACCGTGGCTAGGAAGCGTTTCTATCAGCTGGTTTTTAAATCATGCATCTGAGATAAAGAGGATTAAGAGGTACTCAATGGACAAAAACGGATTTGTAGGCAGCCAAGGCCAGAGAGAAAAGTAACTTTCCCAGGGCTGTGGGCTTCTAGATCTATCTCAACCTCAAATGCCTGTATCTTGAAAATCCAATTAAGCCGTAGTTGAGCCATCGAACCTACTTCTGTAGCTTGTGGGATTATAGCTTAATTTTTTTTCCTGTGCATGTGCCATGCAACATATTCCGGTGCTGTAAACTTGTTAAATGAGACCCTTTGTCAAGACAAGAACCAAGTCTCTTGCCTTCTCCTCCTGAGTTTTTCAGCAGTTTTGGCTAACATGACGGTCACCAGGGAGCCTGCAGAATCAGAATCAAGAATCTTTATGCTGCAGTGGCCATCCAGAGCCTTCTCACCACTACGCATGGACGATGATCATCAAGAGAAATACCAATGATATCTCGACCACCTTCCATTAATATCTAAAATACAAAAAGCAAACTTTTATCTATCACGGCCTCCTCTCCTCCTACACAAACTCAAAGGTGTCGCCCACATCCGTACACATCACGCCCACCCGCTTCGACCCCACCACCCTCTCCAACCTCAGCACATCCCACCGACTAAAGATCACCCTCACCCTACACGTCCCCGCCTCCGCCATCCCCTCCCTCACACTCCTGCCCAACCACCCACCTGTCACCTCGCGATAAAACCGCTCATTATCCGGCACCTGATAAAACACCACCTCCTTCGCCCCGGCCACCTCATACCTCCGGAAATGGTGTGCCCGCCCGGTATACAGCAGAACCTTGAGCCTTCCCGTCCTGAAATGGCTCCTTGCCCGCGCAACAGCGCCCACCTCCGTCTCCTCGCTGATCACCCCAAAGTCGAGACCTAGGGTGTCCAAGTGATTCCGCACCCGCACAAAGTCGTAGTACGAGTTCACAAACACCACCGACCCCCCAGCGCTGCGCTGCAGCCCCGGGAGTACCATCGCTGTGAAGAACGTGAACCGCGCATTGGCATCTTGGGTCGGCGCGGGGGCGTCGAAGCGCATGAATGTTTGCCGTACCTGTAGCCCCAGGTCCGTCATGGTGCCCGCATACTCTGGCGCGGTCTTGACGCGGCCGGCGATGTTGCGCATGTGCGCTCCAAAGAGCGCGTTGAGTTCTGGCGTGAGGAAGGTTGCGGTCATGATTGTCTGCCGGATGAACTTTGCCTGCGAGTCGAGATACCAGGAGCGGACGCGGCCAAAGTCGCAGCCGTGGGCGTCCTTGGGGATAAGGTTGAGGTGCTTGAAGACATACTCAACATGCTCCCAGTTCTGCATGAGCAGGGCGTCGGCATGGTCGACGACCACAAGCTCGAGCGAGGAGAGGAAGTCGTAGTCGCGCTTCTTGTCCCCCTCGTTTCCGAGCACCATCCGTAGGCCGAGCGGGGAGGCGAGGATGATGTCGGAGGTGTAGAACTGCGAGAACAGCTTGACGGACTTGCGAGTGAACTTGAGGCCTATCCTGAAGAGGTCGTCATGGTTTCCGGAGAAGAGCTCGCGGAAGTCTGCCGGCTTCGTGGTGGGGATGCGCTCTTCCTCGGGAGGGAGGGTGAAGCTGTCGGTGAAGCGCTTCTTGTTCTCTTGCTGCTCCGACTGCGACAGCGCGAGTAGGGTGTTGACCACCTCCGCACAGGCGTTTCGAGTCGGCAAGAGGAAGAGGACCTTTGGCCGCGTGAAGCCCTGGTCCCGTAGCTCGAGGTCGGCGTCGTCCGTTGCGCGGGAGAGGCGTTCGTTGTTTTTGAGCACTCTGCTGCGGGTCTTGTAGATGTGGTTGAGCGCATGGACGCAGGCCAGGTTGCGGACGGCGGCGGCGTTGTCGGGCGTCCGCGAGGTGAAGAGAACGTCCTGGTTGGCAAAGATGTAGGGCGCGAGCGCCTGCTGCACCGGTGTGAACTCGCCATTGAGAGTCTCAAAGGGCGCTGTGAGCTTGTTCTTCAGGTTTACATCTGCGATGCTGTCGACCTTCTTGCCAGGCGCTGCTTGCGACCCGGCGGGGGCGCTGAAGACCAGCTTCCCGCTGAGCGCAGGGTGCGTGAGCTTCTTGATCTCCCAGCTGTTTGCCTCCGCGGCCTTCGTGCGCGCAAGATACCAGGGCGTTGGGGTTGCAAAATGGGACTCGAAGGGGTCGGACTGGTCCTCATCGTCACTATCCCCCTCATTCTGCTCCTCCGGAACCTCTTCCTCTTCCTCTGCGCCCTCTTCGTCCACAGGCGCCCACTCCTCTTCCGGATCCTCCTCTTCCACGACGTGCTGAGTTTTCCGGCGCTTTGCGTCCCGTGTATCTTTAGACTTGCGACTCAACGTTAGGGACTGTAGTAGTACGTTATACGGCTTTGCGCTGGTATCTTCCGGCTCCTCCTCGTCCTCCGTGGAGAGGACATCGTCGTCTTCGGACTCGGACCCGGACTCGGACCCGGACCCGGGGGCATTATGGGCTGCGCCGGCTTCCTCGTCGGAGCTGGCTTCGTCTTCTGACGGCGCTGGGTGATTACTACCTTGCTGTTAGGATCAATTGCACTTATCGCATGAATCGATGCACTACTACTAACTCTCTAGGACGGTTCTCGAAACTGCGGATACCGCCTCGACCACCTCGACCACCTCGACCACCTCGACCTCTACCACCGCCGCGGCCCCGTGCGCCGCCTCGTCCTCTACTGTTGCCACCGCCTCGGCCGCCGAAGCTACTGCTGCTGCTGCCGCCGCGTCCACGTCCACGTCCTCGCTGTCCTGGTGGCATTGTGTGGTTGTAGGTGGGTTTGTATGTGTTTGAACTCAAGGTGAGGTGAGTTGCGAATGTGAATAAAATAAATAAAATTTAGGCGCATGAGGCTCTGTGGATCCCTGCGTGTGCCAAGGCCCTGCACACCCCACTATCTTGGTGGGCGGGTCATGAGGTGTCACTCGGCTAAGAAGTGAGAGGCCGAGGGAAGCAATATATTAGATCATGATGCAAGTGTGAGTCTGTAAGGTGCAGTAGCTTAAGGATATGGGATTGAGGTATTCTGGGTCTGGTTGGGCATGGGATGCTGGTGTCGCGTGATGCGAGAAGAACTCTCGCCTGGACCCCCGGCGGCGGTTCAGAGCCCTCTGTCTGGCACTGCAATTGTATTGTATCTCGTATTCATAGCTCTCCTGAGGCTGTCTGGTATCTCTACGCATATATCTGCAATCGCCAATGGCTGTCCTGTCCCGAGTAATCATTCCAATGCATGCTGCCAATGATTACTCTGCCATCGTAATATCGTACGTGCTGCTGTCAAAGAAAGACCCGGGCCCGAGTGACTTATCAGATGCGATTACTCATCGCTCACTCTTTCTTTCTTATCGCAGTCCCGACACTCCCCCGTGCGCGCAGTCAACAATCCAATTCACTTTTCCCCACGCCCGCCGCCCCACATGCGAGCGCTGTCGAGTTGGTGAGTTCTTCTTCGAGCAGCGAGGGTTCCTGTGACGTCCCCTGCCCAGTGTTTTTGCCCTGCGCCTTGGAACAGTCCCGACCGACCGAGCGAGCATTCTCACAATTCCCATCTACTTACATATACCTACTTACATATCCCTTCCTCCCTCATCCCTTCTCGCCCCCCCTCCCCCTCCCCCACATTTTTTATCCCTTTCCCCCTTCCATCCCCCCCGCATCCGCTCCCCCGCTAATGCTGCGGAATTTCCCCACCGTTACCGACCGATTCCCGCACTGCTTTGTTGGGTGGAGGGCGGGTGGGAACTTGCCTGCTGCTGCTGCTGTCGTGTGCGTTGAGCGATAGAAGAGAGAAAGAGAAAGAAAGAAGAGAGAGGCAGCTGCGCAGAGTGAAGAGTGAAGAGAAGAGAGAAAGACTGTGTGTGTGAGGTGGGCTTTTTTTTAATATTGGTGTTGTGCGCCCATTCGTCTTTTGTCGGCACATTACTCTAATAACGATAACAATCAATAACTAAAATACTCTGCATCTTTTCCAGAAGGAGGAGCCAAATATCCAAATATATACATACCTAGTCCGGTGGTGGTTATCCTGCTACTAGCACTTCTACTACTGCTTCTACTGCTTCTACTACTTCTGCAACTATTACTACTATTCTGCTGCTGCTGATACTACTGCTTCTGCTATATTGCTGCTGCAATTAAATACTACAATACTGCAATACCACAATACCACAATACAATTCGCTGCCACCACCAGTACTGTTCCCATTACACCAACTGTCAGTACGTCCCGGTGCCTTACTCGTGATACCGGCCACAGCTCCATTCTGCCGAATCCTACATATATACATACACGCCCGGCCTATTGCATTGCGTCCAGACACCCAGTCCACAGCAGCCTGCACCCATCCGTCCACCAGTCCGTCAGCCAGGAAACACCAGCAGCAGCACCGAGTCACCTCACCTCACACGACACCCATATCCCATATCCCCCACCATTAATACCACCGACGCAGTGACTCTCCCTCTACCACAAAAGAAAACTCACAATGTCACAACCCCCCACCCCCTCCACAACCTCCCCCGACAAGCCCCCCCACCCCGTACACCACATCTACCCCATCTTCGTCCCCGCCGACCTCTCCGACAACTTCATCCACGCCTTTGCCGGCGCAACCGCCGGCTTCGCCTCCGGCATCGCAACATGCCCGCTCGACGTCATCAAGACCAAGCTGCAAGCCCAGGGCGGCTGGTCGCGCATGGGGCCCGGCCCCGGGGAGGTGGTCTATCGCGGGCTCTTTGGAACAGCGAGCACGATATGGAAGGATGAGGGGTTTAGAGGGATGTATAGAGGGCTCGGACCGCTGATTCTGGGATATCTGCCGACGTGGATGGTGTATTTTACGGTGTACGAGAAGGCGAAGAAGTTTTTGGAGCCACGTGAGTTTTTATTCTAATTTTTTGGTTTTGGTGTTCTTTTTCTGGCATAGTGGGGGGGGGGGGGGGAGTTGGTTTGAGTGGGGAGGGAGGGAGAGGGGGTTATATTTGCCTTTATACTCGTATTTTTACTTGTTACTTCCGCTTTGGGTCTGCGGTTTTGCAGCTCTTCAATTGCGGTATTGGGGGTGCAATTGACCTATTCCTATGCCTCAATTACCCTAAATACTATTCCCGGTTTTCTCCTACCTCTGCGCCCACTTCCATCCCATTCCTCGTCTCTCCATACTCCCAATTGCCAATACCGGGCATCCATCCCCCACTACCTGCCCAACGATCATTTCCACTAACACCCCCAGAAATCGAGCGCACCTGGGTGACACACATCCTCTCCGCCATGACCGCTGGCGCCTCCTCCACAATCTGCACCAACCCCATCTGGGTCATCAAAACTCGGCTCATGTCGCAGCCCCCCGTCACCGCCAACTCCCCCGCCTCCCAACACTACACCTCGACCCTCGACGCCATGCGCAAAATGTACATGCACGAAGGCGTCCGCGCCTTCTACTCCGGCCTCGCCCCGGCACTCCTCGGGCTAACGCACGTGGCCGTGCAATTCCCGCTCTACGAGCAGTTCAAGAAGATGTTTACCACCGGCGCGGGGCAGGGCCAGAGCGGGCGCGGGAAGACGAGCGATTTCTGGGGGATCCTGGCCGCCAGCTGTCTGAGCAAGATATGCGCGAGCTCGGCCACGTATCCGCATGAAGTTGTGCGGACAAGGTTGCAGACGCAGCGGGTGCTGGGGGAGGCGGGGGGAGGAGGGAGGGGGAGGGTCAGGTATCGCGGGGTGATACAGAGCTTTGCGACGGTGTTTAGGGAGGAGGGACTGGGGGGTTTCTATGCGGGGATGGGGACGAATATGATTAGGGCGGTGCCCGCGAGTGCGATGACGTTGTTGACGTATGAGTGTGAGTTTGGTCTTGTCTTTCTTTCTTTTTCGGGGGTGCTTTGGGTTGGTGCGGGATCGCAGGTTGGGCGTTGTTGGAATCTCGGGGGCTAACGTATCCAACAGTCATGGTAGGACGGTTAACACGATACAAGGAACAAGGAATACTAGAACGGGATCGATTACTCGGCGAACAATCGCAGTCATCACGGTGATGTAGTTTTTGTTTGCCTCTTCGTTTTTTACTTTATTTTCTCTGTTCTCCTTCGATTCTCTTGATACACGAATACTAGCCCTGCCGGAGAGCGTGGTAAATCCCCAGATTATCGGTATATATCATGTCGTCTATTTGCCTGTGAATTGGAGATTGGAGGGAGGGAGGGCTAGCTAACTGGGGGGTTGTGCATGTAGTTACTTCTGCTTCTTGTTCGTCTTTTTATTCGTCTCTATTCTTCTTAGTTGGGCGTATATTCATTCCATTCTCATCATTCTTGCTTTCTTCTTTTTCTCCTTTCTATTTTGGGGATTTTGTAGCCTTTCTTCTTTTTTTTTTGTAATTGTGATGCGGGGATCCGGACGAGAGTAAAGACGACGAAAAAAACATCATGGGGATATATACACGGACTAGGTATTATAATGTAACAAACGCCACTATACACTTCCTTTTTTTTTTCCTTCTTCTTTTTCTCCTTTTTTTTTTGGTTTGGTTTCTGGTTTTTTTTGGTAGATGGAAAAGCACTCCTTCTTTTCTTCTCCTTCCTCTTTTTTTCATTCTGCGGTTGCGGTCAACTAGAGTAGACGGTCTCTTACAAGTCAAGTCACTTTGGTACTCTACGAGGTCGCATTACATAGGCCGAGTAATGACCAGTGATTCTACGTCCCCGCCCCATGCTACAAGCAAATGAAGAGAGAGAGAGTTGACGACCCTCCCATGCTTTTCCGGCAGAACCTCACTGACAAAACCCTGCTGGCTTGAGTTAAACTCTGGTAGAGAGAGCACATGTACCTGCATCACCGACCATTACCGGTGCGGGGTTTCCCGAGGCGCACATGCTGTGGTTGATGCAACGGCGGAATTAAGAGGGGAAGTTATAGTACACTGGAAATGCTGGCATGTGATGGGCCCTGGGATATTGGGTGGTGAGGAGCTGCTGCAGTCTGCAGTGTGTGGATCATTGGCTTTTGGGCTATTGCCATGTGAGCTTCGTAGGTTCCGGGGAAGGCATATATGTGTCTGTGGATAGGGAGAGTGAGTTGGTGTTTGGGCTGTAGAAAGGATCCCGAGGATGGGTCTGTAGTGCCGCAATGCGGGAGTGACTGGAGGGGGAAGGGCTGTAGACCGGCCGGCGCATTAGATAGAAGAAAGTTGCCCAGAAAAAATACACCAGACATCCAGAACCCATGTGAACATCTCAAAATACCCAGTTCGAACCAAGCCATACAAGAAGACCTCTCTTCTAGTTCCTCAACTATAGAAACACCGGTGTGGTGCAAAAACTATATACAAATCTCGAGCTCTCCGCCAGCCCATAAAACGCCAACATACATGTAGATATATAATGTTAGTTTTCTCAGCCAATCGCTCACATACACAAGTCCACACTCCTCTACGCGCTCCGCTCCAGGTCCAACATATCAAAAATAAACCCATTACTATTTCCTATATGCGCCTGTATAGTAACCTAGCCCAACAAAATCCTGCTCTAAACTATATTCTCTACCTGCTATCTCTCCCTAACCTCTCTTGTAGGTCCTCTACCAGCTCATAGGCAGGTTTAAATCGCGGCGTTGACTCTCCGCTCTTGTTCTCTAGTAACACTGGGTTGGGATGGGTATCGGTCGTTCCGCCTAGAGACGTGTAGCCCTTATCGTACAATGAGCAGTACGGTATCTCAAGCGCGCGCAGAAACTACGATCACCCGTCGGGTCAGCATGCCGTTATTGTCCAAGGATCAACCGAGACACTTTACGGGCGGGAAGACCCGCAGTGAGACAAATCAAATCCCACCCGCGCGGGGGTCCGAGAATCCCAACCGCACAACGGGAATGGGGGGAGTGGAAGAAAAGAAGACGGAGCTGAAGGGTTCTGTCAACTTACAGCCCAAACCTCCTGGTAGTGCCAATCAATTACCGGGTGCACTCTCATAAAGTCCGGCCAGCCATGATCCGTCCGGTCAAAATGTGTGAGGAACTCGCCGTGCGGGTCTGTCCGCCTCGTACCGACGAAGATGGCCTTCACGTTCTTGTTCTGCTCGAGGTATGTCTCGAATGCCTTCTTCATGGGGAGCGCATAACGAGCGAGGTCGAGGTGGTACGACGGCACGCAGATATCTACGAACTCATCGACTTCAGCGAATGGGTGCTGGGACATGACATAGACTGCGTTTAGGAGCGCTATTGAGCTCTTTGAGAGCGAGTTCTGGGAGAGTCCGGCAAGGAAGATTATTAGCAGTACGAGGCAATCTTTGCCACCGTTAAATGAGATGGCGAGTTCATCGAATCTGTGGGAAGCTTTAGTTGTCTGTATACGACTTGATGAGCGGCGAAGTCTGGAGAGGGCAAACGAACGAGTATCTCTGTAATGCTTCTTGGATGACCTGGAGGGATATCTTCGTCTGGTGCTGGACCTGCCGGAGGAGCTCAGTCTCAGGCGTGGACGCGAGGAAAGCAGAGATCTTGTCGTGGAGTTGCGAGCAGAGCTGGTGTAGTGATTCTTTGGATTGTTCAGCGCTCTTCACATGAGTGGTCACACCGTTCTGCTGGACCACATTCGGGGGAGGGTGGGGGGTTGTGGTGGTATCTTCTTTGTCGAGCATTATCACAGAACCTCTGGACATGATCATTGAGGCCGTGAATGTCGAGGTTCTGAGAAATTTGAGGATGTAATCTAGAAGAGGTGCGAGTGTAATGTATGTATTTGGCTAGGTGGTCTTTTTTGTAATAAGCTGGGGATGTATCGGTATCCACAACCACCACCATGCTGCTCTTGCTACCCCGCCGCCGCCGCCGCTTCAGCTTTACCTTTACAACCAGCTGGGTACATGCCTTACCACTGCCGAGAAGCGGGGATTGACTGATTGATTGAGATAGTGTCAGGTACGAGATCGATCTGGTCTCGGAGGCATCTTCTGTAGGTAGAGTAGCGGAAGTAATTGTTTTTTTTATTTCTATCTACACTGGGCTGCAAGCTTGCAATTGCCAGTTTCGTGATGTCTCTAAAAAAAATGCCTATTCGGGGAAATGGAGAGCTCACTTGGATGAAGGATGAGAACGAATGGGTAAATGGGGATGCTCCGCGGTCAGAAAACCTCTTCTAAAATCCCAGCCTGCATTTCTACAAGTATATATACTTACATAGCCATGGGATGCACACATAGATACTAGTAGTACTCAGGCATGAGTACTCTAGAGTACGTACAGTGCACTGCCACTTCAACACAACCCTGCGGAATTAAGAAAGAGAAGAAGAAACCAGAACATCACACCACACGTGCTACCCCGCGGATCCGCGCAATGCAGGTGTGCCCCCATCCCTCATCCCTTCCCTTGTATAAGAAGGGAAGTGCGAAAAGCTTGATGTCTGTCTGAATCGAGGAAATCGCTGTTTCTTCCTCGATTTCTGCTTTTATGTGCGCAAAATCACAACCGGGGATTCATAATCGAAGCTCTCGGGAAAATAGGACCCTGATTACCTACCTATTGTACCTACATGTAGGCAGATAGAGTATGTACCTGATCCAATGAGTAATTCTGCCTTCTAAAGAAGTTTCCTGGGATATGTTGCTTTTCTCTACAGCTGTCTGTTAGTACCTGCAGCTTTCCATTCCTGGGGCGGTTTTTTAGTAAAGTACTCTACCGCCGGCTGTTTGATTTCCCGCCAACATCGCTCATCCAGTCATCGTGGGAGAAGGCGAAGAAGCTCACGGCAGTGTGCGGATCACCCCTCGACGGAAGTTACATGGGGGAGTAGGAATTCACAAATAGGAGCCTGCATTTCATGTAAAACGTCGTGTGTTTTGCAAGGCTGTTGGTTACATATCGGTATGCCCCCATACTTAACAAGCCCGAGACAGGCAAGCAGCAGCAGGCAAGAATAGTAGACCAGGTAATCAGGCGGGAAGCATCATTACCCAGCGGGCCGTACATAGAGTACCTACATATGTAAAAACCTACATACATCCACAGCAAGCTTTCACCGCCATAAGCCAGCACCGGGTTTTCGCTCTCCTCCCCGCGTACCCGCCCTCTCCGCAAAAAGAATGAGCGCATGCCGCAGTTGTGTGTGATCTTGTGCTTGTGAACACTCACACGCTCACTCAGCTCCGTGAATGACTGTAACTGGTCGACTGCTGCTGCTCTTCTGTTTCAACACAGCTGCTGCCCTTTCTTCGTCTTTTTATACTTTTTGTGCTTGCTAGCTATTTTTTCCCTCGCAACGTCCCCCCATCCAACATTCCTGCGCTGCAGAAAATGTCCGCTCTACCCGCTGAACATGCCGTTTGCTTCGCCATCGTCACCAGAGCTCTTGCACAGGCCCGTGAGGAGTTCAGACTCGAGAAGCACCTCAGAAAAGTCTCGCCGGGCCGCCAGCCAAGGCCATCGTTCTCGGTAGACTTGAGATCCAAGCAGATCTCAAGCATCCCGCTGGAGGCTATTAAGCTCATCAAAGATGAAGTAGAAAGGTCAGCCAACGGCAAACCATGGAAGGGGGGCAAGTGATGAAACGCCACCACTTTACCCCCTTCAGAAAGAAAAAAAATTAAGCTATGGCGGGTTCGATTGTTGCTAACTGATTATTCTTCCGCAAATTTTGTTCTGCTTGTTTTGTGTTTTGAAGACTCGCTTTGGCCCATAATCAATTGACCTCGCTGCAAGACGGGTTCTCGGGCCTTCACAGAATGAGATATCTGAACCTCCGTGCGAACTTACTCGGAGAATTTCCGGTGGTGGTATGGTTTGACAAGAAAAAAAACTTCCTTCCCTACAGCTTCTTTTCTCTTTCTTCCCTATTACCCTTCCTTCAGTGCTAGTATGGGTAAAAAAAAAACTGAAGTAACGGGAGGGCTGATATTTTAAATGTTTGCTTTATGTGTTGCTGCCGTAGATCACTCGCCTGCCGTCGCTTGAGATACTTGACGTCAGTCATAACCAAATAGGCTCACTGCCCGAAGACTTTGGGACCCTGATGTCGCTGAAGGTATGGCCAGCCAGTACTGCAATCAATCAATCAATACTCTTATTTGCAAGGCACAATAATTTACCCTCCTCCTCCAATCCCCACTTAAAATTACATAGTTATACTCAATCTACCTGACAATGATAATTCGAAAAGCTGCTCACATGGCCTCTCCTAAAAGGTGCTCTCAATGGGCAAAAACAAAATCACCGTTCTGCCCAATTATATTGGCGCCATGCCCAATCTCACGATCCTGAAGCTCCACCACAATCCCATCGTCTTCCCCCCACAGGACCTCCTGACCAAAGACGACGCAACGGACGACGAAGCATGGCTGGAGGTGATCAAGAGATTCTTGAGGCAGCATGCGGAGAAGGTGGGCACGGGGTCCGAATCAAGGTAAGGAAGGCCCTCCTAGATCAGTAACAATAGAAGTAGGTGAAGTAGGTAGAGTAAATGTACCTACCCTGGGTGCTACCCTACCCTACCCGGTCCAACCCCCCTCCCCCTTTCGCATATCTACCCCCTACCGGAACCCTGGTCCCGGCATTGACGGGGTCACGGCGAACCAGGGCGCGGGGGGGGGGGGGGGGAGGTTGGAGTGGGAGTGGATAGTTTGATGAGCTGCCTGCGCTACCTATTTTACCTACTTCTACCACCGCACCTGCCGGCATTGTGGGTTTGTGCCGTGGTTTCAATTTTGAGGACTAAACTTTCCTGGGGTAAAATCCCTTCTAGTAGTGATTACGGCCCAGACTTGGGGAATGATTCTTGTTCATCAATCAATACCGCAACCTTTGCTTCTAGAACACCAAGCCCTGGTTCTGTGAATAGCTGCTGCTGCTCAGTGGAAGGTAGCGATACGAATAACAACTCTAATCCCACTACTATTATTACCACAAACAACCAAGCGGAGGAACAGCAGAAAGAGGCACCATTCAGGCTATCAGCAGAGCTCGATACCATCATGCCACACGCTTCCAATTCTCTAAGGACGCGATCCGTTAGTCCGTCCAAACGGTCCATGCTATCTCTGCACCAGAATCGCTCGCCTTCGCCACTGTCGAACGCCACGATGTTGTCTAGCTCTGCACCAATGCCCGCCTCCTCTCTCTCCCCATCCCAATCCTCCTCTATTACTTCCGAGCAGGAGCAGCCTCAGACACCGCTTTCAGAGTCCAACCTGTCTCAGCTGGAGCGATCCCGTAGTCATAGCGAATCTACAGCACAGCTGCAGACCATCCGGGGTAATCGGAGAATGGGCATGTTGCCACCACGCAAGTCCCCAAATGCCATTTTCCAAGGAGGCGGCAGCAATAATAGCGCCACCGGCAGCAGTAGCAATAGTAGTGGAAGCATTGGAGAAGGAAACAACAACCTTCGAACCGTTATCGAACAACCGCAACCGCAACAGCATCCACTGCATCTGCAACAGCAACAGCAACAGCAACAGCAACAGCAGCAGAAGGCTTCGAAGCACCAACGTGGTTACTCGCACGATAGCATCATCGACTCGGCTGGAAGGACGCTAAAAAAGAATATGGGGAAGCCTGCTGACGGTGTTAACGGCGGCTCGCAGGGCAGTCCTACGGAAAAGGAACGACAACCTGGGCCGTACTTTCGGCGGTTAAGCTCGTTACCAGAGAATAAGCGGACGTCATTGTCATCTGCAAGAGTTGGTGAAGCTGCTAGGGGGATCCTTTATGCTATGAGCACACTGCAGAAGCCGATCGAGCACTTTGTGCAGTCAGCAGTCGATCCTAACGGACCTCACCATAAAGTTGAGAGAGCTCTTTATAACGGGAATATCCATATAGGGTCATTGGTTGGAGCTCTGGAGGCATATGAGGAGAAAGACGACGAGGCAGCAGTAGATCAGGTCATTGATGCTTGCTACTCTTGCGTTGCCGCGTTCCGGCAAGTGCTATCGATGCTACAGTCGAGCTCAAAAGAGATTGGAGCCGGAGCAGCAGGACATGATGTCCGCTATATGAGGACATTACTACTTACAGTCTACGGATCTTATGTTGAGATCCAGAGCTCGTATGAGATTCTCAGACCATTGCTTAGGACACATCGCCCCACGCCGAGCGTACAATCTTTCAGTAGTGCTAGCTCAATGATGAGAGGAAGACAGCCGCTGCAGATTAATAATAACCCTGGGCTACGACTAGCATCTATCCCGTCCGCTACGTTCATGTCGTCAGCAGCTTATACGACCCCACGGGGCGGCCCACTGGGTGCCGACTACTTCTCACTCCCGCCAACGCCGGGTTTAAATAGTGTCCCGTCTTCAGCTGTCTCACAGATGTCGGAGAATGGGTTTGGGTTCGACCACGACGAGCCGTTGTATGGGATCTTCCAGACTGCCATTGGCGCGGCATTGAGCACGCTGCCAGTCATCGAGAAAGAGATTAAGGCTGCGTTGGGGCAGAGCTTGATGCCGAATGTGTCTTTGAAGCTAAGGCAGGTCTCGGCTTTGTGCGTCAATGGGGCGGACGCGGCGAGGAAGCTGAGTAAGGTCAGATGGGAAGCTATCCAAGAGGGAGATGTTGGTGAAAGGCGGCGATTCTGGGACGACACTAACATCTTCACTAAGGTTAGTCTCAGATTTAAGATTTTGTTTTTTAAGAAGATTTACTGATGGAGTGATAATAGTTG